GCTATGCATGCTAGCAGCTTGCTGGCACAAGCATCAGGGCTGGCTGGCTGGGGCTTGCTGCCTTGCTGCCCAGCAGCCGCACAAGCAATCCAGCAGCCTAAGGCCCTTATGCGCCAGCACACGCACCTCACGGCACACCTATCCACGCCACACAGCCACGCATCCCAGCCACACACAGCACATAGAAGCATCACGCCTCGCCCTTGTGTGCACCACAGGCAGCCACATGTGGGCTGCTAGGCAGCCCGGCTAGCCTTGGTGGCGCATGGTTGTGTGGCCTTGATTTGCGTGCTACGACTCGGGATTTTAATCCCGATTTTCGTGTGACAATAATCAATTCTAAATTAGATTTTAGAATTAATTTTGAGGGAAAAATAAAATAAAACAAATATTAAGTCTAACTTAAACAAATTTTATTTTAATTGGTGCACAAGCCTAAATTTATCCAAAATTTCAATTTTTGAACAAAATTAGGTCAAACTTTATGCTTAAAATAAAATGAGCTATGTCCAAAATTAATCTTGCCAATATGCAAATTAATCATGGATTTGACAAAAGGGAGTTGGAAAATAAACTAATCATCCAATGATAAAATTTTCCAACTTGCATACTTGTGTAAAATACCAAGATTGCATCTTCCAATATGAAGATTAATCAAATTTTACTCACAAGTAATTGAACTTAATGGATTTTAATTAACCAAAACATGGAAAAATCCAAACTTTGTTCAACATGGAATTTAGGGTTAGGGTTCCAATCGTTTAAACAATTAAAGATTAGAACTTTAACATTACTTGGGAACTTAAAATACAAAATCACAACAAATTTTCACACCTTATTGCAATTTATTTGCAAAATTGTGAAAAACTAGTTTATGTGATTACTTGGTATATCCACTTAAGCACTAATAAACACTCCATTATTATGCTTAAGGATATTTTAAAACCAGTAGATTAGTGATGCAAATGTGCATTTAATCTAACCTTGTAATGCTTGCATTAATCAAGGCTTAAAAAGAATTAAAACTTTCGTTAAAAACGAAAAACCCCAGAAAAAATGGGTTTCTGGTTCGAATTTGGCTTCTGGCCAATCCTAAAAGGGTTGAAACAGTTCCAGAATGTCGATTCCACCAAAAATTCACTATTTTTGAGCCAAAATCTGGGTTCGACAGCCAAGTCGATAATAAAATCGAGTTTTTAAAATAATTAAAGAACGAGCATCTAATCTAATTAGATGAACATGAACCAGAAAATTAAATTCTTTTAAAACACCTTAATTAAACAATAATTGCAAAAATTAAAAGGAGCGTGGCTCCGATACCGCTGTAGGGTTTCGTAGTGACCCGGCACTACGCGGAAGGAAACCCACCAAGACCCGCCCCTTAATTAAAGCAATTAAACAAGCATAATAAACTTAATCATACAAGATTAAGGACAAGAACTATACCTTTGACGCGTGCTTCGCTCCCAAAGAGCTCTTACTTCAAAATCCCGAAAGCACGAGATCTCCGACGGTTCGTACCCACGAACCCGACCCGAGCGTCCTAAGCCTCGAAGGTTAGTCGAGGCCCGGACAAAATAACTATGAGTTTTACGAATCAAAGGTTTACTCTTTCTTAGAGTTGCCTTTTTAATTCCACTCAAGGTTGTATTCTCAAAATCCCAACCAAGTGGGTATTTATAGAGAATGGGGACTTGAAACCCCTTTTCATGATCAATGTGGGATCATGTGCAATTGCATTAATTTATTTAATTCCAAAATAAATAATTAAGCAAAGCAATCACAAGGCAACAAGTGGCAAGAGGGTAGAGAGAGTTAGGTGAGGACCAAGTGCCTTGGGGGGGGACCATTGCCTTGCTCCCCAAGGCTTGGCTCTAAGCCTTGGTCCCCACTCCCCAAACCGCCTCAAGCATGCAGCTGGGCTGGCAGCCTGCCTTGGCTGCCAAGGCTGCCAGCTGGCGCCTAGCACCAAGGCTTGGTATGCTAGCAGGCAATGCTAGCACGCACTGGCCTAGCACGCATCAGCCCTAGCACGCTGCGAGCTGCTGGGCGCTGATGCTGCTGGCCTTGCGTTGTTGCTGCCTCGCACTCTCTCTCTCGCATCCTTATCGCTAGCATAGCCAGTGCTAGCAGGACATCGCTGGCGCTGGCCTCGCATGCTACGCACTGGCTGGTCGCACATGCATCACGCACCAGCCATGCGCCATGCACCACGCATTGCCAACCCACATATTGCTAGCCACACGCACATGCACACACTCGCACTAGCCAGTGCCTAGCACTGCTTGTGCTTGGTGCGAGGCAAGCGCACACGCACACGCATATGCATGCGTGGTGCTGCTGCCTTGCACCTAGCCAGCCATAGCACGCACACGCACCAGCCAGCACGCATTGGTGCGGCTGTTGTGCGAGGCAGTGTGCGAGGCTGCGAGGCACACACGCACACACACACACGCATGCCACTGGCATTGCGATGGTGCTTGTGATTTTGCGACGCTCGGTCTCGGCGCCCTAGGCTCGATATCCGACGTCTGTATTCGTAAAACTCTGTCGACTCATTAAATCCTTTCGGATTAATTCGACGTCTCGGATCGGAGATTCGATTGGGTTCGACCCGAAGGGTTCAGTTAAGATTAAGCTGTAATATCAATTATACCTTGATATTACTGATCGGAAGCGGCCTCCACCTAGGCATTCCGATCACTTGACCTTACTGAAGAATTAGCTCTGTAATAATTCTAAACCCTCTATCGGAATAATACACTTGTTGGAAGGACACCATTCCTTTCAGAAACTACTCATGGTATAATTCACTACAAGAAAAAGGTCGGATTCCGACGGAAACGTTCCGACGGACCCAAATTTCGTCGGAAATTTCCGACGGACCCAAATTTCGTCGGAAATTTCCGACGGAATTTGAGTATGTCAGAAAATTCCACCGGAAAAGGTAAATTACGACGGAAAATCCCTCGGAAATATTCCGACAGAATATTCTGTCGGAAGCTGTAAATTTCGAGGGAAAAATCCGTTGGAACACATAAAACAAAAAAAAAATTGAAAAATTGGAATATAGGGGTTTTCCGACGGAATTAAAATCCGTAGGAAGATTACGACGGAAATGTAATTAAAATCCGTCGAAATTTAATAATATAAAAGAACCAAACCCTTCTCTTCCTCCTGTTTCTCTTCTCTTTTCTCTCTCCTCTCCTCCGCCTCTCTTCTTTTTCTCTCTCCTCTCCTCTTTCCTCTTCTCCTTCCTTCTCCTTCTTCGTCCTCTTCGACCACCACACCGACACCAACAACCAACGACACCAGCAGCACCGCCGCGCAATAACACCACCGCCGCAACAACACAACCGTAACAGCACCGACAACCAACAACAACCGAAATGTAATAAATTGTAATTATAATTTATAAATTTATTAGATATTGTAATTGTAATTGTAATTGTAGATCTTGTAATCTACTGGTTTAGATCTTGTTTTTGTGGTAATTTTTGTTTCGGATTTTACGTTTTTATTTTTTTCGATTCGGATTTTGTTTCAGGATTCTATCTTCCATTCTTCTCACGTTTTCCCGATGTTTTTTTTTCGTTTTTCTGGGTGGGTGGGTTAGGGGTTTAGTTAGGTGGGGTGGTGGTGGCTCGATAAGGGGGGGTTGAGTGGGGGTCTGGTCAGGGGTGGGTGGGGGAGATTTGGTCAGGGTGAGGATAGGTGGGTGGGTGGGGTGGGGGGGTCTGTTCTGGGTAGGGGGGTCTGGTCTGGGTGTAGTGGGCGAGATTTTGGTCAAGGTGGGGGGTTTGGTCTGAGTGAGTGGGTGGGTGGATGGGGTGGGGGGTCTGGTCTGAGTGGGTGGGTGGGTGGGCTGGTTTTTTTTTTATTGACTTTTCCGACAAAAATTTCCGTCGGAATATTCCTTTTCCGTCGGAATATACCTCTTCCGGTGGAAATTTCCGTCAGAAAATTGCGTGGAATTTCAATTAAAGTCAAAACAGGGCCGACATAAATAAATCCGTCGGAAATTCCGTCGGAAGACTAGTTTCCGACGGAAAAGGTCGAATTTCCTACAAAGGGTTTTGCGACAGACTAATTCCGACGGATTTTTCGATGTTTTCGACGGATTTTTTCCGTTGGAATCAAGTTGTTTTCTTATAGTGATTAAACCCAACCCATTCATTATTAACCTAAGTAAATATTTTTCATGACCATAACCGAGTTGCTAATACATTGATGATGATAAATATCCGCAAAGACGATAAATGCAAAATGGTAAGAAAAAAGACATCATAATGACGTGATAAACACCCAATAAGGCGATAAGTAATTATTTTTTTTAATGACATGAGTTGTCAACCTTATACTAATATAAACAAATGCAAAACTTAAATGAAACCCGCCCAAAAAATGATACCGAGTATATGTGAATTGAAATCTCCAGCAATAACAAAAATGACATGACCTACATGAATATAGTTGAAACCAAAATGACTCAAACTGAGATTGACCTCGAATTCGTATTGCACGACTCAAAAATCGAAACTAAAATAATTCTAGCCGAGAATGAGCTAATAATTGAAGTAAAGCGACTCAACTTTTAACCGAAATTGAATTAATTTGAACCGAGATCTTATCGAATCCAAAATCACCTGATCTAAATTCTAATAAATCCGTTTTGACCTAAGTAAATCCGATAAAATCCGGATTCGAGTTTATCTGAACTCGATATGACTTGACACGAATATGACTTGACCCAAATTCGATTTGTACCAACTATACTCGAACCCAACTTTGACCCAAATCTAAATAAACTCAACCCGATTTGATTTGGTCTGTTAGGTTAAAATGATCCGTCATTACCCGACCCAAACACTCCAACCCGTCATGGGTCAACCCAAACTCCATCTGGGTACCAGATTTGACACCTCTAGGAAACATAAGGCATGTACGTAATCATTAATAGATCAATAGATGCCTAATCATTACAAAAAGAATTATGGAATTGAAGATCAAAACAAAAATAGATAATACAATTTAGTGAAAAAGACATACATTATTAGAGCAACAAAGATTAAAAGATAATACGAAGTACATCATATGATGACTATATGAGTGGCTAGATTTGGCTTGGATTTATAAGCTAATTGGATAGCCCTCATATTATTGGTCAATACAATATCGAGTGCCATGTTGAAATCAAGATATAACTACAATTTTAATTAATAAAATTACTATAAACTTGTAATGCTAAGAGAATAAAAACCACCATGATTGACCATGGATAGTCGAAACAGTCTTTCTTAGACATCAGAGCCTTCCATTTATTCTTCTTCGTCTTGATAAGATATGCATTCAAATCTTGACAAACTTGAGCGTAATAGAAGCCCGGGTTTCTCATACTTAAGTTCTTGGTAATTCGATTAAAGAGATTAGCCACCTCGTCGTTACTCCCAAAAAAATGCTTAATTATTCCATGTTGAACAAGAATTTGCACGTCTTCTTGGGTGTGAATCAATGCATCGAGGAAGAATAAGTAGTCGATAACATAAGAATCACAAAAATGGTGACATTGCTCGAAAAATACAATGCTTCTAAGAGTTGATTCGGTAGTATCTTGAATTATCAATGTCGGAATATGCAAAACTCCCTTTGAAAATGTAATATCAAGTAAAGTCTTACTTTCACTTGCCATAAACTTAACTCCTAATGTCTTTAATTCCTTGGCAGTTAAAGGAAGTTCATCAGAATCTACACCATTGGTATACTCGGGCAATTGGTAACGAAGTTTTGTAGGTAAGCAACAAGTCCTTAGGAAATCAACAAGGTGCATAATTTTTGGTACTTTCATTAACTTTTCTTTACCTATTGCACTACGTGCAACTTCTCTTCCCGGGAAAAAACTAAAGCCTATGAAATTACAAGTAATATCCTTGAAGGAAATATCGGGATAGGCTTCACCAAATGCTACATCGTATAGATGGTTGAGAATGAAAAAGGGTAATTGATTTTCTTCTAAAAATAAATCTTGGTGCACTTGAAGCATCACGTCGTACTTGTTCTCCATAGGATGAGGACCGAGTGAAAATTGATCGGAAAATTCCATAAATAAGAAGATGATAAATGTAGCATCAACCATTACCATCTCAACAAATTCATCACTAGAAAGAGTTATTTTTTCAGCATAATAGGAACGCGCTTCCTCCTCACACTCTCTAATTATATCAATGAATTCACCCAAGGATGTAGCATTATTGTTGCCATTTGTATAGTTACAAAACTCTAGGAAGCATTCAAGGTGCCTCAATTTTAGCTCATGGGAAGATTTTAGGGTTCGATTCTTATAGTATAAAGGACCAATGGAAACAACTAAAGGGTTGTAACATTCTCTTTTTACCTTAAGTAAATTATCAGGCACCCTGTAAATGCAATGCTTTGAGGAAGATCGAGCCAAAGATCCGAGTTGTTGTCGTAGTGAGGTTTCCACATCCTTGATTCTACCAGCCATTCTGTATTGATTACAAAAATATCACACTAAGCATTATTTTCATTTAATTTAAGAGTAGAATATAATTAATCACATTATAATCGTGTTCTATACTGCTATAAATATTGATCGAAGATAAATGCATAATATCTAGTGAACATAAAGAACTAACCATGCATGAAAATTTCAAATTAGAAATTTTTTTTTTTTCCCCAATAAATAGGAATAACCAAAGTAGAGGAAAGAAATCAAATTGAAGTTTGTGGTGCACTATACGGCATAACAATAAGTACACCTAGTAAAGTCTTTTTAAAAATTAACAAACCAAAAGGTTTTGTATAAATAAAACTCCAAATACATAACCAAAATGTAAGTGAAGTTGATTTATAGCTACATATAGATCAAGATTTATAATACGTATAAACAAAATAAAATTCAGTAAATTATACACATGCGACACGTATCTTCATTGATTTAATCTATGACCACGAACATCCATTCTCAATTTCTCATACACGTAGATAGAATATAGAAAAAAAGTAAAGCAGCATGGATAGATTGACCTTAAAGCAAGAGAGGTCAATAAACCCCACTTGATTAATTATAAAAATAAAATAGCTCACAAAATGTTATATTGAGTGCAAAAGGTTTGGTAGTTGGAGAAATCCTTGAATCTTTTGAGCAAGGAAGTACTATATTCTTAAAAATTATATATATATAACTATTATACTTAAACAATATTTTAGATCCGCCACTGCAAAAAAAAAAAAAAACGTAATAAATAAAAAAAAAATAAAAAAAATATATATTGCATTAGAACATGTACACTCCAATAATTATAATTAGCAAGCAAAGCAATAATAAATAAATTGAGAAAAATGGAGAAACAAATAACATACCCAAAAAAACCCAAGAGTACCTTTAAACGATGCCCAGAAAAATGTTGGCTAAGCTACCTTTTCATCTCGTTTAGGACATTTTACGACATTGTGTATTAGTTAGAGCAATAGAGGGTACGATAGATATAGCCAAATCAACACTCGGGTAGGCTACTCCGATCCCTCGATAGAGCTCTATACTCGTAACTGTCCTAAGTGTTTAACTCACTTCACTTCCTTAATTAACTATATATATAGGGAGTATATGCTTACATACTCTTGATCTTAGTCTAGCTAATTACTTTTGTAAGTAATAATTTAACTAACTTCTATATACAATAATATTATTGACTTGATAGTTGATTATATATAATAAATACTAAATAGGAGCTGTCTTTCTTGACTTGTCTTGATAGTTGATTATATACTACGTATTATAGATACTAAATAGGAGCTGTCTTTCTTGACTTGACTTGTTTGTACTTACTGTGTATACAAAGATATAGGAGTAGTATTTTGCATGGAAGATTCGTTCATTTTTATCAGTTTGATTGGAAGTGTACGTTGACAATCCATAAGTAAAGTCAACGATCAACTTGTTCATACTAAATATTAGTCATAATTGCCATTAAAGTTGTGCATTCAAGCATCTGCATTCAAACTTATTGACTTTCATTGTTTATTTGTAAATCACAAGTGGCCATGTGGTTACTACTTCTTGCTCACCTATTCTACCTTTATTATGATCCTCTATTGTAGATTGATATTAATATTTTATGATAAGAAGACATTGGTATTAAAATATGTACGCTTCATGAGTCTCCTCGTATCTGACACTAAATTTTCCACTTAAAATTAGAGGTGAATGAAATTTAAAATTGTGACTAATTTGTCACATTAACTTTTGTATAGGTTTAACTCTAGCAAAAGTTTAAGCGGGTGGTTGAAGTTTCTAAAATTGTTTTGATTATACACTTTATCAAGCATGTATCATATAAATTAATTACTCCATCCATTCCAAATTAGTCGATTAACATTGATCTACGCACATAATAGGCTTCAAATCTTATTGTTTAGTGGTTATTAGTTCTTACTTGTTAGTGTGATGTCTAGTGGGTAATGGTTTGTTATATTAGGGACGTATAATAGAGGCGGATCTTCATTGGGCCAATCTCCAAAGGTTATTGACTTTTGTCCAGTGGTAGATCTAGAAGGCATCTAAATAAAAACCAAAATTCAAGTTGGCAAAAAATTAAATGATAGAACTCCACATATTATTCCTTTATTTTTATTATTTTTTTTTAAATTGAGCCTAATTTTGCACCCCCATAGCTATTTTATTTGGATTTGCCCTTGTACTAGCTCACATATACCAAAGTTCAATCAACATATCATTAATGTAACAAATTCTAGCATTAAACAAGCATCAAAAGAAATTCCTAATTGTCTTGTACAACAATAAACTGGAATATGGAATCTGCACGTAGAAGCTAATTCATTGCTTGTAGATGAACAAAGAACAATTAGTGCTTAAAACCAGTATAAACTTGTAACACGGTAAGGAAAAGCAAAATCGCCAAATAGACAACGGAAATGATTGACCAAGGATGATTGAAGTAGTCTTTCCTTAATATAGCCATCCATTTGTTCCTCCTAGTGTTGGCATGTGCATTCAATTTTTCAGCAATATCAGAATAGTAGAAACTATGATTATTAATCATTATATTTTTGCGGAGTTGATTCACGACATTAGCTACCTCATCATCACTCCCAAGCAAATTCTTGATTACACCATGTTGAACTAATATTTGCACGTCTTCACGAGTGTTAATCAACGCATCAATGAACGATACATAGTCGACAAAGTAAGAACTGGCAGAAACATCATGAAATTGACGGCATTGCTCAAAAAATAAAATATTGCGAAGAAGACCTTCCGTACTGTCTTCCATAGTCAATCGTGGAATCTCTAAAACACCATCTGAAAATCGAATATCCAATAGATATTTACTCTCACTTGCCTTGAATTTGACTCCGGCAACCTCCAATTTTTCAGCACTTGGGGGTAAAGTAAGTTCAGTTCTATATATACCGTCTCCGAGTTCGGAAGGTAAATGCCAAACCCTCAAAAAATCCAAAAGATGCTTAACTTCCGATGTGTTTCTCAGAACATTCTCTTTACCAGTAGCTGGTTTGATACGTCCAGAAACAGAATTGTTAGATATATAATTACAAGTAAGATCCTGGAAGGAAATCTCGGGGTAAGCTTCACCAAATGTTATGCTGTATAACAGGTTGAGAACAAAAAATGGGAGTTGATTATCTTCTACAAATATATCTTGTTTTATAATCTTTTCATTTATAGGAAACTTTGGAATTCCAAATCTTTCACTACAGTAAATAAACAAGTAAATGATGAATGCAGCATCGATCATCATCATCTCAATAAACTCGTTGCTGGAGAGACTTATTTTTTCTTCGTAGTAGGAACGAGCCACATCCTCCCAATTTTTTATAACTTCAATGTATTTCTCTAAGCTATAAGCTTTGTTGCCATTGGTATTGGCTGCGATTTTTAAAAAGCATTTCAGATGATTTAATTTTAACTCTAACGAAGATTTTAGGGATGGGTTTTTGTAGTGCGTTGGACCAATTGAAACAATCGAAGGCAGATAACATTCACTATTTACCTCTCGGATATACCTAGGCACCTTATAAATGCAGCATTTGGAGGATATTAAGGGTAAGGAACTAAGCTTGTATTGTATTGAAGATTCCACATCCTTGGTGTTGGCTGTCATTCTGTAATTTCAAATTATAGATAACATGTTATATATGGAATACATTATACTTTATATGTTATTTTAATGAATGTCGTACCACTTTGACTTTTTCACTGTTTATATACTCTCTTTTGACTAACTATTGTGACTTATTTGTAATGAATAATACAATCAAGTAAGATATTTTTGGAACGTCTTGATTTGTACTTTCGAAATATCATTTTTTTTTATAAATTTTATTTATTAAAAAATTCAACATAATATAAAGCTCAAAGTTGTACGTTGACAAGAGCGAAATAAGCTAATATGGAGCAATATTAAAAGAATGTAGAAAATTTAGATGCACATAGAGGTAGGTGCACCCAACTACTAAGGAGTTGTTTTTTTTTTTGCCCATTTGCCAATAATGAGTAGATATTACAGGCGTAACAAGACGTATAAAATTTTTTAGGAAGCCTATTATAATATTAAAGTAAATCATCATCATTATTTTAACCATCATTTATTTTCCTTTCATCTAACCTACTATAATACTTCCTTTATTTCTATTTATTTACAACACAATCTATTTCATATTTGACTATTTGAATAAAAAAAATGTGTTTAATTATCAAAAAGTATAAATCTAAAAATTAATATATATGAAAAAATGATTGAGACAAATATAACAAGATTCTACTTAATCACTAAAATCGGTCAAAATTAGTGAATATGCGAATAGTATAATAAAAGTGAGAAAATTGGAGATAAAAGGATATCAAAGTAATACATATCTAAAGACGAACATTGAAAATTTGAAGTAAAGAAAATAATAAATAAAAGAAAGACTTTTTACCTAGTTGTTTGACGTTGAGATACACTATCTCTGAAGACCGTGTTTTGACTTGAACTAATAAGAACCAAATGTATGCTCCCTTATTGGCGTATGCATGAATTGAACCAATAACCTTTAGGAACTTAAGTAACCTGATATCATATGGTTGCAATTTTTAAAATCCAACAAACAGTAGGTTGTGTAATGTACGAGAGTACAGAGTAAAGAGGGTGATTTAATTTAAGCAAGAGCTAGTTTAATTTGAAAGTAACAAATATTAAAGGATAGTACAAAAGCAGATAATGTAGACTTGTGAATTGTGACTTTTGTGAGTGAGGAAGAGATGAGTTATGAGTGATGGTTGTGACTTGTGGATTGGAGGATATCACATCAAGTTAATGTGAACCAAAGAATAAGATTAGGTCAAAATATTCTCCTAGTACGGAGATTGAAGGAATGTCACATCAAATTAATGCGAATCAAAGAAATTGGAGCTGAGGCCATATAATAAAGTCCAAAAAGTGTGCTCCAAATCTCCAATTGTGGAGATTCAAGTAAGGGATTAAGGGGGCCTAGTTACTCTAGTGGTTTATAGCATTTCAATTATTGGAAGATGTTTTGTGTATTATGATTACTAATCCCGGATTTCTATTTTTGGTTAAACAATGATAGATGCACATCATGAACAATGAAGAACATGAACATGATGAACAACTTTTTAATTTTAACTGTTTTTTATTTAATGTTTATTTTGATAAATAATAAACAGTAGTTAAATTAGAAAAAAAAATCGAAATATCATAAAATAATTTCTGGATATTAAAAATATATTTAAAATGATTTTAAATTAAAATTATCAAAAAATTAAATAAATAAATTAATAATCTTAGTCATCTATTTTAAAAAATTGCGATAGTCAAAACTCATATGACTATATATATTATAATCATCCTATATCTCGAGTGACTTGTAAGATCATCCTTGGTTTGTTGAATATAGGGTTATTTTCATCTATAAACTCGTGGAAATAACTCCTCGGGAAGAGCTCAATGGAAAATATTGCATCAATGAGCAGCATTTCAATAAAATGCTCGGTAGGTAGATTTATAGTATCAACACAACTTTGGTGAACAACCTCTTCCGTGACTTCCGACCCTTTAATAACTTAGGCGTACTAAGATGTACCAAGATGGACGTCATTTTCCTCTAATGTGCTCTATTACAAATTACAATACATACGGTTAAATTACTAATGACAATATAATGAACTATATATACTCATAGTTACAAACTTACAAATGAACATCAAACCTTTTAAAATGCATACTAACATGTACCAAGCTTCAAGATTAGCCATTAGCATTACAAATTTAAAGCAGCAAAAGTAATACTTAATTGTCTTATTACTTGTATACTAATTACAAACCAGTAAATTAAAAAGAGTGATCGTACAATAAGCCAAAATAAAAAGTAATACTATATAGCAGCTTGTAGTAACGAACTATTACTTAAAACCAGTATAAACTTGTAACGCGGTGAGAATAAGAAGTATCACTAAATAAACCACAGAAATGATTGACCATGGGTGATTGAAGTAGTCTTTCCTTAATACAGCTATCCATTTGTTCATCCTGGTTGGTGTTGGCATGCGCTTTCAATTTTTTACTAATAATATCAAAATAGTAGAAATTAGGACGGACCATTGTGTATTTAGTGAGTTGGTTCACAACAGTTGCTACCTCGGCATCACTCTCAAGCCAATTCTCGATTATGCCATTTTGAACTAGTATTTGCACATCTTCGTGAGTGTCGATCAAAGCATCAAGGAAGGATACGTAATCCACAAGGTAAGAAATTTTTTCATAATAATAACAGTTGCATTGTTCGAAAAGTATGATGTTGCGAATTAAGCCTTCTATGATATCTGAAATTGTCAATACTGAAATCTCTAAAGAAGGAGCATCAGTTCCTCATTATGAAAAACACTTTTGTTTCTCATAATGACATTTTGGAAAATAATGTGATGTTTTTCATTAGTAGGGACCGCATATGTGTCATGAGTGGGAACTCCAAATCTTGACACATACCCCATGAGAAACAAAACTTGTCTCTCACAATGAGAAACATAGAATTACCCGTAAAATAATTTCTATTCTTTTACCGTCTCGGAGTTGGGAAGGTAAGTGGCAGACCCTCAAAAAATCCACAAGGTGTTTGATTCCTGAGTTCTTCTCTACATTCTCCTTACCTAGTTTGATACGTCCAACCTCTCTTCCTAGTAAAGAACTGCCGGATATAAAACTACAATATAAATTATTGAGAACAAAAAAGGGGAGTTGATTGTGTTCAACAAATATATCTTGTTTTACTTTCACCATCCATGTAAGCTTTTCCTGAATAGAAATTTCTTGGATATCAAATTGGTTATTTGTATAACACATAAACAAGTAAATAATGAATGCAACATCAACCATCATCATCTCAATGAAGTCATTGCTAGTAAGACTTATTTTTTCTTCGTAATAAGAACGGGCAATGGCAATGTACTGGCTTAAGCTTAAAGCTCGATTGCCATTCGTATGAGTTGCAAGTTCTAGGAAGCATTCGAGATGATTCAATTTTAAATTTAAACAAGGTTTCACCTTATAAATGCAGCATTTGGTGGAAATTTTGGGTAAGGAACTAAGCTTGTATTGTATTGAAGATTCCACATCCTTGGTGTTAGCTGTCATTCTGTAATTTCAAATTATAGATAACATGTTATATATGGAATACATTATACTTTATATGTTATTTTAATGAGTGTTGCACCACTTTGGCTTTTACACTATTTATATACTCTCTTTTGACTAACTATTGTGATTTATATGTAATGAATAATGCAATCAAGTGAGATATTTTTGGAACGTCTTGACTAGTACTTTCAAAATATCATTTTTTTTATAAATTTTATTTATTAAAAAATTCAGCATAATAACGTTCAAAGTTGTGCGTTGACAAGAGTGAAAGCTAATATGATGCAATATTAAAAGAACGAAGAAAATTTAGATGCACATAGAGGTAGGTGCACCCAACTACTAAGGAGTGGGTTTTTTTTGCTCATTTGCCAATAATGAGTAGATATTACAGGCGTAACAAGATGTATAAAAAAATTTTAGGAAGCATATTATAATATTAAAGTAAATCATCATCATTATTTTAACCATCATTTATTTTCCTTTCATCTAACCTATTATCATACTTCCTTTATTTCTATTTATTTACAACACAATCTATTTCATATTTGCCAGTAACCTGATATCATATGGTTGCAATTTTTAAAATCCAACAAACAGTTGATTGTGTAATGTACGAGAGTACAGAGTAAAGATGGTGATTTAATTAAAGCAAGAGCTAGTATAATTTGAAAGTAATATTAAAGGGTAGTACAAAAGCAGATAATGTAGACTTGTGAATTGTGACTTTTGTGAGTGAGGAAGAGATGAGTTATGAGTGATGGTTGTGACTTGGGAGTTATTAATGAGCACGGATTGGACGGATATCACATCAAGTTAATGTGAATCAAAGAATAAGATAAGGTCAAAATAGTCTCCTAGTACGGAGATTGAAGAACATAGATATAGGAAAACATTGGATTAATCTGTGGATACTAGATTTACAAGTTTTTCATTGAACATGATCATTAATAAATTTGGCATTTTACTAGACAACATCAATATAGAGCTAAGATATTAGCCCAATCTAAGGAAAATTTGGATTTTACAACCCACAAATAACCGACTTTTTGAAATCATCATCCACAAAAAATATTATATTAAAATACCACTCAAAAAAACAAAAAAAAATTAAAAAAAATAAATAAAAAATTAAATATTTAGATTTCACCATTATTAATCTAACGTTTTATAGAAATTTCTTCAATTTTCGTACCAAAAACAAACTCTTTAAAGATTTTGGGGGTCATTTTTGTTCTATGAGTCCGATTTGAGGTCAAAATTTACATACAAAAAATGATTGAAAATGCCTTGTTTTACGTACTAAAAAATACCTCGGTTTGTGTGACACATGTAAAATGAGATATTTTCGATAATATTTTTGTCAATTTTGACCTCAAATCGGATATACAGAAAAAATATGACCCCCGAATCGTATAAAAGACAGAATAATAGTCAACAAAAGAGGCCGAAAAAGTGTCATGTGAACTTGATTCGAAACACTAATTAATTTAATTGTGAAATATGTATTATTATTATAACTTGTATTAGTAGTAGTAATGTGTAAAAAGGTGATACTCAAGATTTGAAATTGAATCTATTACAGTAAATTAGTAAGCGAGGGCACATGAAACACGAATTGTAAAGTACAGTATCTATCCCCTAAAACCAGTATAAACCTGCAGCACTGTGAGAATAAGTAGGAACACCAAATAGATCACAGAAATGATTGACCATGGATGATTAAAGTAATCTCTCCTCAATATGGCTTTCCATTTATTCCACCTCATAGCAGTATACGCATTCAAATCTCGACTAATATCAGCATAGTAGAAATTGGGATTATAAATCAATATGCATTTGGTGATTTGGTTCACCAAATTTGCTACCTCCTCATCACTTCCTAGACAATGTTTGATTATTCCATGTTGAACTAGTACTCGAACATCTTCAGAAGTGTCAATCAAAGCATCGAGGAAGAATACATAGTCGATGAAATAAGAGTTGTAGTAATGGTGGCATTGCTCGAAAAATACTATGCTCCGAAGTACAGCCTCCGTGTTTTCTTGAATTACTAATGTAGGTATTCGTAACATTCCTTCCGAAAATTCAATGTCGAGTATACTCTCACTTTCAATTGCAATGAATTTAACACCAGCTGCCTTGATCTCTTTGACGCTTGGGGGAAATACTATGTGAGAGACTTCAAGGTTGAGTTGATCTCGAAGTTTGTAAGGTAGGCAACATACCCTTAAAAAATCCACAAGATGCTTGATATTAGACGCCTCCTTTACCTTCTCTCGGCCTATTATTGTACGTGCAACCTCTCTTCCAAGACCCAGCCCACCCTAACCCGCACGGCCCACGACTCAGGCTACCCGCACGCACGACCCACCTGACCCGCATGGCCCACCCAACCCGCCTAGCCTAACAGCCATAATCCAAATATTTTTTCAAAACTAACGACTACTTTTATTTTTATGAATTTGATGAACAAAGTTAACAGCTACTTTTAATTGTTAGTAACAACTAGTTTTACTGGCTAGTTTTTTGTATTGCATGATCATCCCCTCAATTTTTCCTATAAATACCAATTTCATTTCACTCAAATTTCCACACTACTCAAGCTTTCTTTCTCTCTTACTTAAAAATTCTTACATGTTCTCAAATTCTCAAGTGTTATTTAGTGTTATATAGAGTTTTATTTTTGTTAAAAAAATCTCCTTAATATTATTATTAGTATTCTTAAGATTCTAAAAAAAAAAAAATTCTTCTCCATATTATAATTAGTAACCATAAAAAATAAAAAAAAATAAAAAAAAAGGGCTCAAGAGGAGGAATGGGAAGGAGTCAAAGTGGTGGTCGAAGTGGTGGCCAAAGGAGCAGTGGTGAAAATTTTTCGTATGAAATTAATACGGAAAATTTAGACCAATTTGTCAATGAATATAGAGATTATGGTTTAGGAGATGGGCAAAATATTCAAATGTCTCCACCGTACCACAACATTTCTCCCACCAATCATCGAGTTCAACTATGCCACCTCCATCGCAACCAACATCACAACCAACATCTCAACCTTCATCTCAAGGTAATTTCTAAACTAATTTTATTGTTATGAATATTTAAAAAAACTATTATTAATGATTATAAAGTTAGTTTAGTTTCCAATTTTCTATGATTTATAATTACCATGAGAAATGCGTTTAAATAATTATAATTAAAATATTTAAAATTTAAAAGCTTATTTTCATGAATAGCGTTTAAAAATTAATTTCAATAATTTCATTTATGAAAGGTGGTGGCGGTGAAAGTAGAGGTCGAGCACAATTTTCTTGGGTGTGGAAACATTTTGAACAAGTTGACGTCACATCCCCGGGATGGCAACTCGGTCAACCAAAGAGGTTCACGTGTACATGCCTAGTTTGCAAGGCGCTAGGTGCAAATGTCAAGTCATATAGTTGAAAAACGGGAGATGGAACCAGAACCTTGAGTCGACATTTGCAAAATAAACACGACTTGTTCGAAAATGGCCCCCATCCAACACAATTGGATTGCCCGTCCAAATACAATTGGGTGGATACATGAACCATTTACCCGGCGGAGGTACACCTTTCATTTATAATAAAGATAGAATGATTGATGAAATGAGTACTTTAGTTATTACTAATGAATACCCTTTTAGTTACGGTGACAATACAAATGTTGAGCATTTTAATAAAGTTGCATTACAACCTGCATTACTCGTGTCCCCCGAAATACCCTACAACATTATACACAAACTTCTTATCACAAGTATGGGAGTGGTTTGATTGAATTATTTCGTACATTTGATGGTCGTGTTAGTTTTGCAAGTGATACATGGACTTCTAGTTTGGCGAATCTTTTCTTTGCATTACTGCTCATTGGGTAGATGATGACTGGTTTATTCAAAAACGTATACTATGTTTTCAAGCTATGGAAGAAAGGCATACCGGTTTTAACATCAAAGTTCGTATTTTGGATTGTTTAAAAGAATTTCACTTGAATAATAAAGTTTTTTCTTCGTCACTTGATAATGCAACTGCAAACACAAAGTGTATTGACTATTTGAAAAATGACTCCGAGTTGCATTTGTTGTTGGGTGGTATCTCTTGCATGTTAGATGTTGTGCTCATATTTTGAATTTTCTGTTCAAGAGGGTCTCATTGAGTTGCAACCATTGCTAAACCCAATTAGAACTGTTATAAAATGGATTAGGATTACTCAGTCAGTTAGAAGAAAGTACATAGCTACGTGTAAAGAGAGAGGTCTTAAGAAAAGACAATGGTCTGTTGATACCCCTACCCGTTGGAATTCTACTTTCAATTTGTTGAATGATGCTATAAAGTAGCCTGACATTTTGACCCAACTTTTCAATGAGACTCGTGTTGATCCTACGGAGTTAATAACCGAAAGTCATTGGACTAATGCTTCTTTTGTTCGTGATGTTTTAAATGCTTTTGATAATGCAACTCATAGTTTCTCTTATATTTATGAGTCTAACATTCATTTAGTTATAATTGAGTATGTTAAAGTTGTTCACACCATCGAAGAGCATATCCTTTCCCAAGACCCCCTGCCTTCTCTTGATCGTGCATTCCATCTTGCGGTTTAAGATGAAAGGGTCAGACAAGCCAAAACACAACTTGAGAGTAAGTCCTCCGATGCGGTGGGCTTTGCTTTACGAGCAGAACCTTCGATTGCTAGAAGGGGGCGTGGCCGTGGAGATCGTACCCCCTGCATACATTGTAAAAAGGTCGAGCATGAGTCAGCCTCTTGCTATTCGCTGCTCTTTTGCACCCACTGCAATAAGCGCGATCATGATGTTAATGGCTGCTATGAACTTCATGGCTATTTAGAAGGATGAGAAGATTAATCTCGTTCGGATGGTACGGGGCGTGGCCGAGGCTATGGATCGGGTCAAGGTCGTGGACAAGCTCGGCTAATGCTACTTGGTGCAGTTACTGGCAGCAATAATGGGTCGTCAACCTCGTCCTCTCCATCACAAATATTTTTTCTGTGGAGCAATGGAAAGCAATTGAGGCAGTAGTGGGTAAAGTTAAGGTTCCAGAGAACAGATTGAATGGTAAGTTCAACAATGATATGTGGATAGTAGATGGTAGAGAGACAAATCGGTCGTTGGACAATCACCCTAAGCCAAACAATATTTCTACCTAAACCAACCTAGGACATGTCTAGGGTAAGTAGAGGATCGTATCCACAGGGAATGGGTAAAGAACACCAAGAGTATGAAACGGTTGTAAGCTAATTAGGTCACAAATTGGGGTTTAATTAGTTAATTTCTATAGAGACGAACGTTAGGGAAAACGAGATTCAATGCCAACCAAATCAAACAATTAATAACAAGGATAAATCATGAACATACATGGGTGGTAGAATAGGAACTTAACATTGTCTTCTTTCAAAGTCACAACATAAGTATTCCCTAGATCAAACACTAACATGAATAAGAGTAAGTCTCAATGATAGGAAGTGGGTTTCTAGCTCGAGTTTGTCTCTCGATCGTTCCGAACTATCATGAAGCACAAATAATTGAGAATTCTCACCTAATTACCACACTAAAACATCCTATTCAATGGAACCAAAACATCCATAATCATGAAAGTAGCATAATCTAATTGCACAAAAAATGACTCACTACTAAACCCCATCTTTCAATGTAAGTAAAGGAATGAACACATGAGCATGAAATGGCCACCAAAATACACATGCAATAATCAATTTAAGCACAAAGAGACATCAATCCAAAGTACAACATGAGGGAATCCAAGTCAATCAACCATGGCTTGGTTGGGTTTTCACCCAACCCATAACTAAGGAACTACTCACTAAACATGGTGGAAAACAAGCTAACAATAAAATCTAGGGTTATCATGAATTCAAATAAACTAAGAGAGAGAAAAAACAAGGATGGATTAAGCATGCAAGAACAATTGACAAAGATTAAACAAGAACTAGCATATAACAAGGATAAAATCAGAAAATTAAACAACAAAGGAGGGAGAAAGAGATTACTAATTGATATTTCAGGGTTGAGAATGATTGTTGTTGAAATTGGTAGAACAAACTTCAATTAAATCTTACAAATGATTGTGTTTTTCAGAATCTAAATTAAGGGAGAGGAAAACTATGCACTAACTAAGAGAATAAGCCTAAGGGAGTTAAGAGAGAAGAAGGTTCGTACAAATGAAGCCAAGGGTGGTATTTACACCCCCAAAAACAATTATATAGGAAAATTCGTTAAGAAAATCGGATACCAGCTAGGAGCGCCCGCTCCTCAGCTCGGAGTGCCCGCTCCATATACTTGCACGCCCGGTCCCCTGCTCTTCAGAAAATTGGCAGATTCAAAATACCAAAGAGGGGCGCCCGCCCGCTCCTTGAGGTCTCAAAACTTTGCAAATTGTTTGGGGAGATGAAAAAGCGCCCGCTCCACCAGGAGTGGGCTCTCCCTTCTTCTTCCTAGCTCCATCTCAAGTCCTTAAAGAGCTATTTTTGCACCAAAGCTTCACCTACACCTGCAAGTCATGTACACAAACACACAAAGAGAGGGCAATGCCAAAAATGCAAGACTTATTTACAAAATGGGTTAGAAAGAGGGGAAACGATTACAAAATCGGGTTAAAATCACTACAATAAGTGGTCAAATAAACTACTTATCAGTAGACGCAGGTGCAACGCATCATGTGATCGAAATGAATCTTGGTTGTTTGATACAACTCATATTTCGATTGTCTGGTTGGTCTTCCCAATGGTAACACTGTTTTAGCAGAAAAGGAGGGCTCGATTTGATTATCTGATACTATTGTTCTCACTCATGTTCTTTATGTCCCTCAATTAATTAGTTGTAATTTAATTTTGGTGTCTCAATTAAACGATAATTTGCATTGTACAGTTAATTTTACTTCATCTATGTGTGCTATTCAGGACCAAACGGGGAGGCTGATTGGAACGGGAGCTATACGGGATGGACTGTATTACTTCGGATGAGTCATTTTTGTGCAACATATTTCTGCAAATGGAGCAACGTCACAGTTGGCTTTATGGCACAAACGCATGGGACATCCTTCAAAAGTGTAGTGAAGTTGCTTTCTCTTGATAATCTTAAGGGTAGCTTAGATAAGAATTATGAAGTCTGTTATTGGGCTAAACATCCTAGAGATAAATTTCCTAGTAGTGATAATAAAGCAAGTCGTATTTTTGAGAAAATTCATTGTGATTTATGGGGTCCCTATAAGCATGCTTCAATTCGTCTTGTGGGGCCTCATTATTTTTTTACTATTGTTGATGACTTTTCTCGTGCTGTTTGGTTTATTTGTTGGATGATAAAACAGAGGTCTTTCGTATTTTTTTGAATTGTTGCTATGGTAGATTGTCAATTTTCACAATCAATAAAATTTCTCAAAGTGATAATGGGACAGAATTCAGTTGTTTGCGTGGTTATTTCAATGCTACTGGGGTCTTATTTTATACTTCTTGTGTTGGTACGCCTCAATAAAATGGTAGGGTAGAAAGGAAACACAAACACATTCTCAATGTCTAGAGCCCTTCGGTTTCAAGCCGGTTTGCCTATATTTTTTTGGGGGGAGTGTGTGCTTGCGGCTGCTCATTTAATTAATCGGACACCCACTCTCTAATTAAACAACAAAACTCCCTTTGAAATTTTGTTCGGTTTTCCTCCTTCTTATACTACAATTCATACTTTTGGGTGCTTGTGTTTTGCACATAATAAAAAAACAAAAGGGGATAAGTTTGAGAGTAGGATTCGTTCGTTTGGAAAGAAGGGTTAGACTTTGTTTGATCTAGAAACGAATTGAAAGATTTTTTTGTATCCCAAGATGTGAAATTTAATGAGAATGTGTTTCCCTTTATAAATCCCAATGAGGGGAATATTGATCCTGAGAGGATTGTTTCGATGGAGAATGGTGTGCCTGTTGACCCGAATTTTGATGATGATTATATAGCGTAAAATATGACTGCAGGGGAACCATCGGACGATGGCATAAAGGATGACAAGCGTGGCGAAGACACTGCCCAGCCCGCTGGTAATCCAGCGCCCGTTAGCAATGTTTAGCGCCAGAGCCAGCAAGAGATGGCTGGGCGACGCTCCAGCAGGGCCACGATACTGACCAGCCCGCTGGAGAGTTAACATCAGCTGGGAGCTCATACCTGCAACAAATACGATCAGCCTCCGAGCTAAATTCAGCAGCACAGCCGTAGCCTATAGTCCCTAATTCTCAGCAGCTTGGTCGTGGGTTTCGTGAGAAAATTCCTTCTGTTAAACTACAGGATTATGTTACTCACACCATCATTGCAAACGTTCCATCCCCACTACTTTCTTCTCCACGACATTCCTCTTACTCCCTATCCCATAGCACACTATATTAACTGTGACAATTATTATGCAAATTATCGTAATTTTCTGGCAGCAATTATTTCGGGTCAAGATCCGAAATCATTTCGAGAATCAATGAAGCATGAGGGGTGGAGAAAATCAATGCAAGAAGAAATTCAAGCCTTGGAGGACAATGGAACATGGACTTTGGAACCTCTTCCAACAGGTAAATGTGCTCTTGGTAGTCAATGGGTGTACAAGACAAAGTACCGTTCGAATGGTGAAGTTGAGGGATTGAAGTCAAGATTGGTTCTTTGGGGAAATCATCAAACATAGAGGATTGATAACAATGATACTTTTTCTTCGGTTGCAAAGATGACCACAGTTCGAGCTTTTCTAGCTATTGCTACATCAAAGAATTGGGAGCTACATCAGATGGATGTTCATAATGCCTTTCTTCATGGAGATCTTGAGGAAAATGTGTACATGAAACTGCCTCCTGGGTTTGAACATAAAAATTCAAATCTATTTTTTCGATTACGGAAGTCGTTATATGGTTCAAGACAGGCTTCGAGATGTTGGTTTGCAAAATTGGTCGCAGCTTTGAAAGGGTATGAGTTTCTTCAATCCTACTCTGATTATTCATTATTTACTTATTCTCAGGGTTCTGTTCAAATAAATGTGCTGGTTTATGTTGATGACATCATAATTTCTGGAAATGATTCCACTGCGTTGATTGCTTTCAAACCATATTTGTCTGATTGCTTTAAAATGAAAGATTTAAGCCCTTTGAAATATTTTCTTGGTATTGAGGTTGCTCATAGTGCAACGGGTTTATTTTTATGTCAGAGAAAATACACACTTGATATTATCTCTGAGGTTGGTCTATTAGGAGCAAAACCGACTGAGTTTCCCATAAACAGAACCATCGACTTGGCTATGCGAATGGTGCATTTTTTGAGGATCTAGAAAGGTATCGTCGTTTGATAGGCCGACTTGTATATCTTGCTGTGACTCATCCGGATTTGGCATATTCCCTACACATTTTATCTCAATTCATGTAACAACCTCGAATAGAGCACTGGGAGGCAGCTTTGAGGGTTGTTCGATATTTGAAGGGAACACTGGGGCATGGGATTTTGCTTCGGGCGGATAGTGATCTCACTCTTCAAGGGTGGTGTGATTTGGATTGGGAAGCCCGCCCACTTACTCGTTGATCATTGATTGGTTGGTTGGTTTTCTTGGGAAAATCCCCTATTTCTTAGAAAACGAAGAAGCAACATACAGTTTTGAAGTCTTCTGCAGAGGCCGAGTATCGATCTATGGCGGCTATTACTTTTGAATTGAAGTGGTTGAAGGGTTTGCTGTTGAGTCTTGGTGTACATCATCCTAAGGCAATTCCTTTGTTTTGTGATAGTCAATCTGCTGTTCATATAGCCAAGAATCCAGTTTTTCATGATCGCACAAAACATATTGAGATTAACTGTCATTTTGTTAGAGATGCAATTGAAGATGGTACTTTGGCTCCTTCTTATGTGACTACAGATTCCCAGCTTGCAGAAATTTTTGAAGGCTCTTGGAAAGCGATAGTTTGATTCACTTTTGTCCAAGTTGGGCATTTTTTATCCTCACTATACTCCAACTTGAGGAGGGGGGATGTTAGGATATTATATGATATTATTTGATTGGCATTGATTTGTATAGTTGGCATATTATTGGCATAGGATAGTTTATAGGAATATTTGGTAGTTTCGTAAAGTCTATCACTGATTTCTTTTGTACGCTATATATTTTGCATCTCACATCAATACAAATCAAGCTTTGCCTCATTATTATTTTACAAATCAAGTTTTGAAAGGTTTTGAAAATGTCTTCTGCTGTGTGTCTTTGATAAATGTCTTAGTCGTTATCACGGTGGTGGTAATGTCTTAGATTTTCCTATTTCGTATTTTAAAAAGGGTAAAACAGGTATTTTAAAGGAAAGAATTTCTAGGGTGTTACATGGATAGTGGGGTCACCATGTCAGATCAGTGTGTTAGAGAACACAGTTTGAAGACAAAGCTAAAATTTTCACAAAATCTTAACAACAATAACAATAATGTTGAGCAAGGAAGATAGCAGTGAGCTGGTTGTTTCCAAACAGAAGACTTGAAAATGGTTAGATGGAGCGGCAGTGGTTTAATACCAAGTCGGAATGCAGACTTTAAATAGAAACACTACATGAAACAAGGTTATTGTACCTTGGTAGGCCAAAAGAAAACCTGTAATAGAGTTCAAGAACATAACTGTCAAAACTACCAAAAAATTAATTAAGCTAAGGAAAGGTACTAACTAACTTTCATCATTCTTTAGCAAAAAAAGGTAATTCGTAACTACAACCTATTAACAAGCAGATAAGAGAGACTAAGAAAGTGATCAAATAAACATTGGCTGATAAATATTATCAAAAGTTCAAGATCAATGCATGTTATAATTCCGTCCAAATTCCTAACAAATTTTCAGCTGCTCAAAGATACCAAGCAAGAGAACGAAAACATGTTAATGTATCTCATTATTTCTTACCCAAGCATCTCATCCTATGCTGTTAAACTCCAAAGCAACTAGATGTGATGCTTTCAAAGAGTACATAAAATATTTTAACAATGTGTATGCATTTAAAACTTGAGTTCTCCATCCGATCCCCTACTACACTCTAATTTGTTATTTTGTTATTCAGGGCAAGATATCCAATACTCAATCATCAAGTGTTTGAGGGTAGAAAATCTAGAAAATATACAAGATATTATAAATTCAAAATAAATCAGTCCAAGTATTTTTATGAAAAACTACTTCAATTATCCATTGTCAATCATTTTTGTTGTTTGTTATTTGGTGATAGTTCTTATCCTCAATGTGTTACAAGTTTATACTAGCTAGTTTTAAGTCGTCGTAGTTATTTTTCCCTAGCTTCATATAAAAGCAATGAATAAACTCAGTTGTAATTCGGATGCAAGTTTAATTGTTGCTTTGTATATATTTGTTTTTTTTGGTGTTTAGAGAGCCACAAGGACGGCTGATGAGAATTGATCCCAAGATCTCTTGAAATCGAGAGCTAGGGGAGCTCTAACCACTTGAGCTATCTCCCTCTCTTGCTTTGTATATATTTGTAATGCTATGGTTAATTAGTATATTGAGTTGACGTAGAAGTTGTTACGTTAGAGGAGTAATTATTGAAGTTTGGTACATACTTGTTGTGTAATAACCCAAATACTTAACTAAATATATTAAGGCCAGGTTAAAAACTAATTAAGTATTAATAAATGTGACTATTAAACTAAAGTATAATAGATTTATTTATTAAAAAAAAATCCTATATAAAAAAAAAACATAAGAAAAATTGATGTGTTGCGATTAATAAAAAAAGTATATTATTAGAGCAACAAAGATAGTTATACAATTTATTGAAAAATACGTACATTATTAGAGCAACAAAAAATAGATAATACAATTTAGTGAAAAAGACATACATTATTAGAGCAACAAAGATTGAAAGATAGATAATACGAAGTACATCATATGATGACTATATGAGTGGCTAGATTCGGCTTGGATTTATAAGCTAATTGGATAGCCCTCATTTTCTTGGATAATACAATATCGAGTGCCTTGTTGAAATCAAGATATAACTACAATTTTAATTAATAAAATTACTATAAACTTGTAATGCTAAGAGAATAAAAACCACCATGATTGACCATGGATAATCGAAACAGTCTTTCTTAGACATTAGAGCCTTCCATTTATTCTTCTTCGTCTTGATAAGATATGCATTCAAATCTTGACAAACTTGAGCGTAATAGAAGCCCGGGTTTCTCATACTTAAGTTCTTCGTAATTCGATTAAAGAGATTAGCCACCTCGTCGTTACTCCCAAAAAAATGCTTAATTATCCCATGTTGAACAAGAATTTGCACGTCTTCTTGGGTGTGAATCAATGCATCGAGGAAGAATAAGTAGTCGATAACATAAGAATCACAAAAATGGTGACATTGCTCGAAAAATACAATGCTTCTAAGAGTTGATTCGGTAGTATCTTGAATTGTCAATGTCGGAATATGTAAAACTCCCTTTGAAAATGTAATATCAAGTAAAGTCTTACTTTCACTTGCCATAAACTTAACTCCTAATGTCTTTAATTCCTTGGCAGTTAAAGGAAGTTCATCAGAATCTACACCATTGGTATACTCGGGCAATTGGTAACGAAGTTTTGTAGGTAAGCAACAAGTCCTTAGGAAATCAACAAGGTGCATAATTTTTGGTACTTTCATTAACTTTTCTTTACCTATTGCACTACGTGCAACTTCTCTTCCCGGGAAAAAACTAAAACCTATGAAATTACAAGTAATATCCTTGAAGGAAATATTGGGATAGGCTTCACCAAATGCTACATCGTATAGATGGTTGAGAATGAAAAAGGGTAATTGATTTTCTTCTAAAAATAAATCTTGGTGCACTTGAAGCATCACGTCGTACTTGTTCTCCATAGGATGAGGACCGAGTGAAAATTGATCGGAAAATTCTATAAGTAAGAAGATGATAAATGTAGCATCAACCATTACCATCTCAACAAATTCATCACTAGAAAGAGTTATTTTTTCAGCATAATAGGAACGCGCTTCCTCCTCACACTCTCCAATTATATCAATGAATTCACCTAAGGATGTAGCATTATTGTTGCCATTTGTATACTTACAAAACTCTAGGAAGCATTTAAGGTGCCTCAATTTTAGCTCATGGGAAGATTTTAGGGTTCGATTCTTATAGTATAAAGGACCAATGGAAACAACTAAAGGGTTGTAACATTCTCTTTTTACCTTAAGTAAATGATCAGGCACCCTATAAATGCAATGCTTAGAGGAAGATCGAGCCAAAGATCCGAGTTGTTGTCGTAGTGAGGTTTCCACATCCTTGATTCTACCAGCCATTCTGTATTGATTAAAAAAAATATCACACTAAGCATGATTTTCATTTAATTTAAGAGTAGAATATAATTAATCACATTATAATCGTGTTCTATACTTCTATAAATATTGATCGAAGATAAATGCATAATATCTAGTGAACATAAAGAACTAACCATGCATGAAAATTTCAAATTAGATTTTTTTTTTTCCCCAATAAATAGGAATAACCAAAGTAGAGGAAAGAAATCAAATTGAAGTTTGTGGTGCACTATACGGCATAACAATAAGTACACCTAGTACAGTCTTTTTAAAAATTAACAAACCAAAAGGTTTTGTATAAATAAAACTCCAATTACATAACCAAAATGTAAGTGAAATTGATTTATAGCTACATATAGATCAAGATACAAAATAAAATTCAGTAAATCATATACACATGCGACACGTATCTTCATTGATTTAATCTATGACCACGAACATCCATTCTCAATTTCTCATACACGTAGATAGAATATAGAAAAAAAGTAAAGAAGCATGGATAGATTGACCTTAAAGCAAGAGAGGTCAATAAACCCCACTTGATTAATTATAAAAATAAAATAGCTCACAAAATGTTATATTGAGTGCAAAAGGTTTGGTAGTTGGAGAAATCCTTGAATCTTTTGAGCAAGGAAGTACTATATTTTTTAAAATTATATATATAATTAACATGTACACTCCAATAAATATGATTAGCTAGCAAAGCATAATAATAAATAAATTGAGAAAAATGGAGAAACAAATAACAAACCCAAAAAAACCCAAGAGTACCTTTAAACGATGCCCAGAAAAATGTTGGCTAAGCTACCTTTTCATCTCGTTTAGGACATTTTACAACATTGTGTATTAGTTAGAGCAATAGAGGGTACGATAGATATAGCCAAATCAACACTCGGGTAGGCTACTCCGTCGATAGAGCTCTATACTCGTAACTGTCCTAAGTGTTTAACTCAATTATTGTTTAGTGATTATTAGTTCTTACTTGTTAGTGCAATGTCTAGTGGGTAATGGGCTATTTATGATAAGAAGACATTGGTATTAAAATATGTACGCTTCATGAGTCTGCTCGTATCTAACACTAAATTTTCCACTTAAAATTAGAGGTGAATGAAATTTAAAATTGTGACTAATTTGTCGTACTAACTTTTGTATAAATTTAACTCAAGCAAAAGTTTAAGCTAAGCTGGTGGTTGAATTTTCTAAAATTGTTTTGATTATACACTTTATCAAGCATGCATTATATAAATTAATTACTCCATCCATTCCGAATTAGTCAATTAACATTGATCTACGCACATAATAGGCTTCAAATCTTATTGTTTAGTGATTATTAGTTCTTACTTGTTAGTGCAATGTTAATTAGTATACACTAGACCCTAGTGTAGGTACCATAACCTACACCCCCTACAAAACGCAGCGTTTTGCGTTTTTCCCCTACCCCCACAAACTACAGTAACTACCCCCACTAACCACAGTAAAAAAAAAAAACTATCCATATCAAATTATTCTCTCTCTAAAAACCATCTTCTTCATTTTTGTAGAATTTCTCTCTCATCAACACCGTCGAATCGGAACGAAATTCTCTTCAAATTATTGCAAAATTGCTTCAAAACACTTCATAATTACTTCAAATGTCTGATATTCGAGATGAAATTAAACAATCGCAGCAGCATTTTGATAAAGAGTAAGTAATTTTGTTCATTTGATTACGATTTTAGTACAATTTTTGTATGAAGCATAATTTTGGTTCTTTTCCTTGTGATTGTAGAGTGATTTTGCAAAAAAAACGCTTTAGAGAAGAACATGGAAGATAAAACTGGAAAATCAGAGCAAAATGTTACCAAAGAGTAAGTAATTTTGTTCATATTCTTGCGATGACAATTATAGTGCGATTTTATGTGTGAAACCTAATTTTTGTTCAATTTTTTGCAATTGTAGTATGATTTTGGAGAAAAATACTTCACAGACGAGTAATTTGTTGAAAATTTCTGAAGAAATGTATGAACCCTAACTTTTGTAAAACCTAATTTTTGTTAAAATTTTTTGCGATTGTAGTAATTGTTCTAAGATTTTACTGAAAATAACTAAAACATTAACAATTTATTAAATAAAACAGAGACGATGATGATGATGTACCTCTTCAGTCAAGAGTAGACAAATTGAAAAAAAAACCGCCAAAATGATCCAATTGTAGATCCGGAACTTTTAAAAGATATTGACAAGTCAATTGGTACGGATTTAACAATGTCTCCACTACCAAGGTAATTAGTCATTTACAGAATATATTATGTTCATGTCTAATATGCTAGTTGTATTTGATAAAATTGGTTTTATCTTTGTTTAATATGTTATTTGTATATGATCATATTTGATACTCATAATGTTCATTTATAGATATAGTTATGATCATATATTTATATTTGTTCATATGAGTATTTATTGAGATTTAAAAACAAAAGTACATTTCATTGAAACATCATTGTATATGATCATATTTGATACTCATAATGTTCATTTATAGATATAATTATGATCATATATGTATATTTGTTCATTTGAGTAGTCATTGAGATTTAAATAACAAATATACATTTCATTAAATCATCATGCACATATATAAATATGATAATAATCATTTCAGTGATATGCATTCAAACTAATGTCATGTAATTAATTTATAATGTAGTGATGTGCCATTTAGAGTGATACACTTGCTTCAATTTAGAGATGGGAAATCTGAACCATTAACTCTAAAGAAGGTTATACAACAAAATGAATATGGTAATAGTTATGAAAGATACACTTTAAACAAGTAAGTTTATATGTATAAAATAATTGTTTTTACATTCAATTATTGTACATTGTATATATATACCAAACTTATTAGGTAATTCTTAAAATTTTAGTGAAAAAAAAAAAGGTTCGAGTGAAATTTGTTATGTCAAAATCAAGACCACCAGAGACAAATCAAACAATAAGGTATAAAAGCTTTATACAAAATAACTAATTATCTTCTTCATTGTATAAATTAGTTCATACTTTAATATCATATTATATAAAATAATTCTGTTTTTTTTAAGTGAACAAAGTGAGAACATTCCTGCTACTAATGCAACAACTAAGAGTGTGTCTGCTACACATAACACAACTGACAAAGAGAGCAGGGATGAAAGGTATACTAATGATCAATTTTATATAAACAAATGTTCATTTTTATAACAGTATATTTTATGTACAATTTATGTGCATTTTTTATTTAAAGTATTTCTTAATATTGATTTCAGCAAGCAAGAAGAAGTTCAACCAAAAGTGCAAAGCAATCCAGTAAAGAATAGTCTTGGCCAAAAGTAAGAAAACTTAAATGTTCAATTTAGATAGACTATATGTTCATTTGAAAATCAGTACAAAAAAGTTTGCTCATGGCCAATAGTAATATAAGTTATATGTTCATTTTTTTATTTACTAATCAAAATTGTAAATTCAAACATATTTTTAATGAAATATCAGAAAACCCAAAGATGATTCAAGAATAACAACATTAAAGGACAAGATGCAAGAAATACATTTAGACATAGAGAGAAACCCAAAGTATGTTTAAATTTAAATAATTAAATTAATTTAATCAATTAATGAATATATTTCAAAGTTAATATCATACATTTACAGAAAGTACAAAGAATCGACAATCAGAATTATGAGAAATCTCAAAAGAATGGAAAAGGCAAGCAAGGAAATCAGGAAAGGTAAATGATCATATTTATTGAATATTTTTGTTTAATAGTCATAAATATCAATTTTAACAATACTATTACTTTTGAAGGTGAAGCAAAAAAGAAAGAAAAAGGGCCAATAGAAGAGAAAACTGTGGAAAAAGGTAAAAATTTTAAAATGTACATTTTTATTACAAAAAATGTTCATATTGGAAAAGCATAATATTAAATATTCAATAAGATTAAAAAAATTAAATTTTAACTAAATAAATTTTAATAGAAGTACAAGAAGGAAAAAAAGGGACTGAAAAAGAGAAAAGCCCTAAAGACAAAACTGTGGAAGATGTCTTTCCAAAGACAACAAATGTAGAAGGTAAAAATTTATAAATGTACATTTTTATTACATAAAATGTTCATATTGGATCTACATAATATTGAATGTTCAATAAGATTAAAAAAATATATAAATATTAACTAATTAAATTTTCATAGAAGGACAAGAGGGAAAAAAAGAGCCTGAAAAGGAGAAAATCCCTAAAGAGAAAACAGTGGAAGATGAGTCTACAAAGACAACAGATCCGAAAGGTAAATAGTGGAAAATGTACATATTCATTACCTGAAATGTTCATTTATATTGTATATAGTAAACTTTTGTCATCCAATTTAATAATGTTTATTTAATCTTTTATATTTGATCATTTCATATGCAGCACAAATTGCACCTGATTTTGTTCAAATTGAGGATGAAACTTATCTTCTAGATCAAGATGATGATAAAGTTTCCACAAAACTTAGTGAGGAGACAGCTCCATCATCACAAAAAAGTGATCAGTCAACCAAAATGAAAACAAGATACAAAATGGTTGCAAGGAAAAACAAAAACAAAAGCCTTGTTGTTGTGCCAAGTGGTAGAATTACAAGGAGCCAAGGTAATCATAATACTTTTCTGTTACACAATAAATATTACACTTTCAAATATACTAACATAATTTTTTTTAAAAACAATAGATGTTCTGTTAGATGAATCTAAAAAGGGAAGCCTGAAGAAGGATGTTGAGCCTGCTAAAGAAACCGCAAAAATAGGACAGAAGAGAAGAATGTCTACAAGGAATTTTCCTATTCAAAAGGAAGCTGATGCACCACCTCCAGCACCTACTCCAATAAAAAAAATGGCAGGTGCTCCTGCTGAATATCCTCCAGACCAAGGCAAAAAGGGTAAATGTTCAATCTTAATGTATAGAATGATCATTTATGATGGTATATCATTAATGTTCAATTTCAATATATAGGTGGGAAAAAGAAAACTCTAGAAGTGAAGAAAACTTCTAAGGTTGCTGGCAAAAGAAAAGCAGGTATATAATGATATATTATAAATGTTCAATTTCTATATATAGAATGATCATTTGAGAAAACAATTTTGTTCATTTTATCATTTGCTTACTGTACATTTTCAATACTTAAACAAAATTATATATTTAATTTTCAGATGTCAGTCCTGCCAAGAGAAATGCTGGAAAGAGAAAAAAAATACAAGAAGTACCATCAGATGAACCCTCTCAAGATCCTGACAGTGATGATGATAGTGAAGAGTCAGTTTATAGAGCAGAAGAAGAGCCTGTCAGTGAGGATGATTATGAGGTGGAAGAAGAGGAGGAAGAGGAAGAAGTAAAGCCAAGGAAGAAACAGGCAAAGAAAGGGAATTCAGTGAAGGCAAAGGTTGAAAAGGAGGAGCAAAAGATGGTACTGTATGATGAAGGAAAGATTGAAGGTAGGAGAAAAAAGAAAATGAAAACTGAAATGGTTCAAGCAATAGAAACTGATGAAGTTGAGGAAATTCAGGAAGATGAATTTGAGGAAGAGAAATCTTCAAAGAGAGGAGGACATGTGAAGTTCATTGCATGGATAAAAAAGATGACACCTACCCAAAAACAACAAATTATTGATATAGGGTTAGGATCACTTCTTGACATTAGTTTACCTCAACTTGATCAAAAGTTCTGTAACTGGTTATTGGGAAGTTTTGAAGAAAATAGCCAGTATTTTGAACTACCAAAGAATGAAAAAATAGAAATTGAGGTAGAGGATGTTAGGGTAGTTTATGGCTTGCCTACAGGAGAAATTCCAATTGTTGAGCCAAAGTCTGATAAAATTAGTGAGGAGTATGCAGAATTTCTGAAGAAATGGAGAAAATCATGGTCAGGAAAAACTCCATCAGTGAGTCAGGTATGATCAGTTTTAAATGTTCATTTTAAATACATTAAATGATCAAAAGTATAAATGTTTTGTTCATTTTGTTTGCAGATTGTGAATGGATACATAAATGATAAATTCACCAACAACAGACCACCAAGTGAACATTTCATTACTAACTTTTTAGCAGTGGCTGTGAACTGCTTGATGAAATGTGTATCAAACAATCAATGCCATTTCAAATTTCTTTATTCTATGATGGACAAAGAAAACATAAAAAATTTGAACTGGTGTCAGTTTGTATATGACTCACTTATCAAATGTCATGTTGATTGGAGAAAGCAGCAAGGCAAGGGGTTCTACAAAGGCCCTCTTCAATTTCTGATGGTATATTCTTAGATACAAGATGTTCATTTAAATTTAAATAAATGCACTTTTTTTTATTGTTTATGTTCTGTTCCATGTTTTCTTTTTTCTTGTAGTTGTTCTATTTTGATAGAGTTCAGAGGTTAGACAAAAGGCCTCCAAGAACAATTCCTATCATATCTGCATGGAATAGAGACATGGTTCTTGAGAGGTTGAAGATTGAATTAGAATTGGGATTTGGGAGAGGGAAAATTCTACCAAGGATTGCTGCAGAAGTTGAAGAAAGTCCTAAGGTTATAAAATGATCACTTTTGTTAACATAAATGTTCATTTGTATAATCTGAAATGTTCAACTGCATAATTTTTAATATTCATTCATATAGGTTTTTATGGATGATTTTGTTTCCCTGGTAAAAACAACTTGTTCAAACCTGTCAAAGCTTTCTTCAAAATTGGTGAAGGCAAAGGATATCTTCCCTGGAAATGACTTGGTGAAAAAAGTTGATGAAGTTTTAGGAAAGGTGGTAGCTAGGGAACCATCAATTCTAAGCCAAGATGAAGAATTCTTTGGCAGTGAGGATTTCCTAAATGCACTTGCACAAGCTGAGAAGAATCTGATGCAAGGGTCTGAAAAGCAAACAACTGAGAAGCAAATGACTGGGAAGAAATTAACCAAAAAGGGAAAGGAAAAAGAACAAGAATATGACATCAGAAAAGCTTTCAGCTTGGGGTTGACTCCACCTTCTCCAGCCATTGGTAAATTCTAACTAAAAGAGACTATATATCCTAATTTTTATATGAAAAATTCTAAATTTGTGGTCTAAATTGTCCTAAACAGAAACAGGGCCCACCTTTTCAACACTTGGTGATATAATTGAATAACCAATAATTTCAACAAATGGTAATATGTTCATATATTTAATAATAATGTACATAAACTTAAGTAGAAATGTTCATTTCTAATTATTATGTGTAAATACTATTAACTTAGTGTATCTCCAAAATGATGATTTATAATACAGCTGGAGAAAAGGATGTGGGTAAAACTTCAGCAGCTTCAGAACAAAGAATTGAAGAATTTTCTAGAACTGGTATAATGTTCAATTAAAAAGTGTAAAATGTTCATTTACAAACAAGAAATATTCATTATTAATTGTATTATTTTGTTAGACGCAGCAACTGGTTCAAAACTTGATGCTGACACTAGGTCAGATAATGAAGGATTGCCTAGAACAGGTATAATGTTCAATTATAAATACTCAAATGTTCATTTACAAAGAAATTATATTATATCTAATTAAATTTTTTCTTAGATGCAGGATCTGGTTCAGTGGTTGATGCTGACCCTAGGTCAGATGGTGGTGAAAAAATTGATGATCCAAAAAACACAGTTGGAGGTGGAAAACAAAACAAGGAAGATGTTTTTGAAAAAACAAAAAATGATGAAAAAGTGGAGGGGTAAAATCCTGAAGACATGTCTTACTATTAGGGTTATGTAATGGTGTAGGATAAAATATCTAGATGGAACAATTTAACTTATGTTACTATCGTGTTGTAACTTGAAACTGGTGTTTCTCAAACTATTGTATGTGTGAACATTATTTTGTTGAATATGTAATATGAATGTGTGGTTTATGTTAAATCAATAGGTTTATGTTAAATCAATATCTTTCATTTTATGAATTGAAAATGATTCAGGGTGTTACATAAGAAGCTTTTATTTTATTAATATGTACTGACATTGTTTCACTTTTCAGTGAAAACAAGAAGATTGTTGCTTCATCCTCAAAAGTCACAAAAAGGTACATTATTTATATTAAGTAAATGTTCAAAAATAATAATGAACATTTTCATATACCTAAATGTACATTTGTGTTATGTAATATGACCAGGAATGATGATAAGAAAAAGTCAATTGCAGAAAAGAAGAAAAAAACTGAAAAGGAAAAGGTTGAAAGGTATAATTTCAAATTTATTTATATACACTCAAATGTTCATTTATGTTCCTCATAATTTTCTTAATTTAACAATATTTTATATTGAACAACAAGACCAAAACGCGAAAAGAAAACACTTCCTCCTGCTTTCCGATCTCCTTACTTGGTCAAGTACAAGGATCTGTTTAAAGATGAGAAAGCCATGAACCAAATTGCAGTAGACTTTGCTCTTGGTGGAAAAGATGAAAGGTAATTACTTACACTAATTAAACTTAAGGTTTAATATCTTTTATAAAAATATGTTCACATTCATATTATTAAATGTTCATAATGCAGTGCACTCTTATACTATGATGGCTTGAATCTCATCAATAGAAATGAAATGAAAACTCTTGGAGATGATGTTGAAGTGACAAATTGTGTCATAGATGGATGGGCAAGGTTTCTTAATCATAAAAAGCCGAGAAACAAGATTTATTTCTCAACAGTGCTTCATGTTAGTCTTTCTTCTTTTTTTATATTATTGATTCTATTTTCCTATGATAAATAATTGCTAAAAATTCATTTAACTTCTATATGTTTGTTTGTATTTCAACAGCACATTATGTGCACAAATAAAGTTTGTCAAGAAGGATCATCAATGAAGACAAGAATTAATGCCTTCATAGAAAGAATTGACAATGAACTGAAGTTGAATAAAATTGACAGCATTGTTGGATATAAACAGGTATTAATTCTTGTTTAATACAAATGTTCAATTACCTTCAATATATTGTCCAATAACATTATATAATTTGTTCAGGTCTTCTTCCCAGTATCAACTTCTCAACATTTTTTTCTGTTGTGCGTCAATCATATAGAAGACAAAATTCATATAATTGACAATAGAAAACTACCAAAAAAGGTATCAGTCCAAGCAAAATATGAAGAACAACCAAAAATGATGGTGAGATAATGTGTTCATTTATAGTTGACTACATGATCAATTATATTTTATTAATTGTTCATGTCTTCATCACAATACAAACTTCTAAACAATTTTTACTCTTTTTTCTATCAGTTAAAAGGATTGGCAGAGTACATGAAACACCTTGGATATCAAGATGCAAAAAGAATTGAAGACTACACAGTTGTTTTGGAAAAGATGAAATGGCGTAGCAACAATGACTATACAAACTGTGGAGTTTACATTATGAAGCATATGGAAACCTTCACTGCTGATCCTAATGAGAGCTGGATTTGTGATTTAAAACCAAACAATGTAAGAGTTATAAATGATCAATTATTTAAGATATAATATTCATTTATGAAACAGTAAAGATTGTTTAATTAAAATTTGACAATTCATTTTGTTCAACAGGTGGAACAAATTAGAAATCTAAGGCTCCAATACACAGCAGAACTGATGTTATTTGAAGAAAACACTGAATCAAGAGCAAATAGAAGGAAAGCTAGAAAATTTGCAACTTTGTAGTTTCAAATGTTCATTTACAACTATGTATATGTTCATTTCTTATATATGACTATTTTTTTTTTTTAGAAGTAGACTTATGGATTTTATTTTAATATTATTGTAATTGATATTTCATTTTAATCTTTGAATGAAAGTTTTTTATATAATAGATCGAAAATTCAAAATTACAAAATAGTAATTAAATCAACATTACAAAAAAGTCTAATGTTTATAAAGTTCTGGAATACTAATTATTTATCTTTATTAGCCAAACGTTTAGCTACACTTGTATCAAAAAAGGCTAACAACCTATCATATTTAGAAGAAATCTTTTTAGAACCTAATTGAACATTTCTTGATTGAAGAATTGGAACACGAGCACCTTGATCATTTCTTTGAACTGTGGGAGGAGTAACTTGAACATTCTGAACAGGAAATCCTTGATCATTTATTTGAACCGTAGGAGAAATAACTTGAACATTTGTTGATTGAACATTCCTGGAGTTGGATATGATCATTTCTGGATTGGTGTTTGAACAATTCTGAGTTTGATTTTGAACATTCCTGGGAACAGTAGGTTGAATAACAACAGGAGATTTTGTTGACGCACTAGTATGAATTGGAACTCTTGGATTAATTTGAGAGTAAGTTTTAACACCAGAAGCACCTTCATTTGCACCAAAATTAGAACAAGGTTGAACAGCAGAAACACCTTCAAGATTTAAATCCTTCGCCTTTAAAAAAATTAAATTGATCATTAATAAACCAGTATATGATCAGTTACAAACACTTATACAAACAAATATGGAAAAAAAAAAACCTTAGCAATAGATGAAATATCAACATCAATAGATATGATAGATGAAAGAGAGCTTTCACCAGTAGCCTACAAAAAAACCAAAAAAAAATATAAAAAATAAAAAATTAAATAAAAAAAAATTATAATATAGATCATAAATGTTCATATACCTGATCAAAATCATTGGAAATACTATGATTTGATTCCTTAGAACTAGAAGGAATTTCTTCTACAACAGCTGATTTTAAGCCGACCTATATTTTTAAATTATAAAAATCAATATTAATAAAATATAAATAAAATGTTTTTTTTTGGCACATTTGAATTTACCTGAGCCCGTTTATTGCTCAAAACAATCAATTCAATGGGATCACTAATAGAATTAGCATAAGTAACAGCACAACCGTTCTCATCAAGTTCCTATTTAAAAAAAAAACATAAATGATCATTTACGAAAACTGAAATGATCAATTTGAAAATATGAAATGATCATATACCTGTACAACTGCTTGCCCTATACCCCTTTTGTAAGGAGTGTACAGAGACTTTTTCCTCTTGAAATTACCCTTTGCCTTGTTACACTGCTTCTCCAAGGTACTCTTAGGCCTTACATTCCTCTCACCTTTAGGCCTAGCTTTTGGAGGATTCTTGATCTCAAGATCAACAATTTCAACCTCTTTAACAGGTTCACTAAAGTCAATTACACCTGATACACTCTCAACCTTTTCTTTTAACAGATTGAAATAACACTCAACCTCTGCCCTTGCATTCAAAGAATTCTGACAACTTGTTATCAACTTAACAAACTTTCTGATTGTTTGTGACCTCCAAACACTAGTAGCCACAACATTTGTCCTCAAAGTAGGTTCTTCAATACCATGACTACACATGGCAGCCTTTGTCCATCGTTTCATTATATACTCTTGTGGAATATTACGCACACAATGCAAATGATATACTCGAAGAGAATGAGAACAAAGTAAACCAGTCTCACTAAAGTACATGCATGTGCAACAAATTGCATGTGTTTCCTTATTAAAAACAACTTCATGCTTAATTATATCCTTCCCAGGCCTCCAAAGAAGATATGAATATTCTGGAAAACGCAAACCATTATCAACATGATCATAAGCTGTCCCCCTAATGAACTCCTCTTCAAAAAGAACATAAGCTTGAATAGTGTACAATGATCTTGCATGAACTAATATACCAATATTAGCAAAAGCTAGGTGCCTATTACCCCTCAGAGTATTGTAATCTCTTGCACCTTCCTTACTTCTCCACTCAGAAATGACATCAAGAAAAACATGATAAAAATCACATAAACCTTGAGTCTTATTAAGACGTTGTGAAACTGACTTATTAGTAGTTTCACTACGTTGAGAAGACAATATACCACCAGACCAATACTTCTTAGAATAAGCAGGACACCACATTTCCTTTATTTTATACAAATCACATAACCAATCATCATTTTCACATTTGTATTTATCACACATCCTGTATAACAGAAATGATCATATATTAATTTAAAAATGAACAAAATATAAATTAAAATATGTACATTTGTGTAAAGAATAATGATCATAAACAATATGGACACTAATAATATTATGATAACATACATAACAAAGTAAATTGTATGATCATATGTAAAACACTAAATGTTCATATATATATCACATAATAATCAAATATATCACATAATAAAAATAAAAAATAAATATAAAAAACAATAATTTACCTTTTCCAGAAATATTCAAATTCAGCAGGAGTTTCACAATACTTCAAAAGATATCCAAACAAATCTGTAAAGCCTTCCAAAGCTCTCAATGCTCCAATGTGTTTCTTAGAATTTTGTTCAAGATGCCATACACATAAACGATGATGAACAGTTGAAGGAAAAATGTTTCTTATACCCGCTGCAATCGCTTGTGCTTGATCAGTCATAATTGTAATGGGACTTTTCCTCCCCATTGAGTGCAAAAATGTATCAAACAACCAATCAAAAGACTCGGTGCGCTCATTAAGAATAAAACCCATACCAAACATGACATTGTTACCATGATGGTTCATCCCAACAAATGGAGCACATATCATTCCATATTTATTAGTTCTATAAGTTGTATCAAAAACCAACAAATCTCCAAAGTAATGATAATCTCTCATCATCCTACCATCACGCCAAAAAAAACTAACTAAAGCACCACTATCATCTTGTTCAAAATCATAATAAAAATCTGTCTCATCCACATGTCTCTTGGCAAAATATTTAATCAATTGGTTACCATCACATCCTTCAATTTGGGCAGCTTTTTCAGATGACAATGCATTATAAGCATCAGAAGCAGTAAAACAAAGATTAGGAGATCCCCCAACCTCCTTCTTTAGAACCCTCAAAGAATCAGTAACTTTGACTCCACTCAATTTCATTGTTGAAATGAAAAGAAGCTGCTCTTTATTCACATCTCTTTGAGACCTTATCAAATGCCTTTTTTCAGGAGGAATCATAGCATGATTATGAACCATTTCATGTCTTGTACATGTATAGACCCCTAAATGATCAATATGAAACTGCACAAAAGCTAAACAACCAGTTCGATGATCCAACTTCTCATAAATCCTTTTATTCTTACACTTATTATCTTTGAATCCCTCATTACAACAAACAAATCTTTTCATCAAAAAAGAATCATCTCTTCTTCTCTTACTCTTCCCAATTCGAATTCCAAAACCTTTCCTAAAAGCATATTCATTATACGCTTCGAAAGCTTCATCTTCAGATTTAAATTCTTTATCCTTTAATTCAGACTGTTCTGCTTCTAAATACATAATATCATCATTTTTTTCCACTGCACAATATACAATTATAAATGATCATAAAGAGTTTCATGAATGAACAATAACAAATAAGTAAAATGTTCAATATCAAAACAGCACATGATCAATTGCAAAAAGAATTTCAGCACATAATATTTTGAACAATATTTTCATTATTTACCACTACACATAATATCGATATAAAAATGTAAAAATAAATGATCAAAAATGACTTTAAGACTGAACATAAACACATTAGTAACAATGAATAAGAAAACATAAACGATTAATTGAAAGTATAATCTACAAAATATACGACAAAAACACACAATTCTAAAACACAGAGAAAACAACAAATGAAACAACAAATGAAGCAACAAAATGTTCATACAAAGTACAACAATCCAAAAACGTTCATCATAATGTAATCAAAGTAGTAAATTCAAAAATCGAAAGTGAATAATAATACATCAATTAAGTTCAAATTAACAGAGCATTATAACAGAACAAATTAGGGATAATTAAAAATTGAAAAATTATGATCACAATTACTCACATTGTTGCACAAACGAATCAACGAAACGAAGTCCAGAAGGAAACACACGCTCGCAATCGCGATCAAAATCAACGCAATCTCCAGATGCAGAATTCGCCATTGATGATCGGTAACAATTAACGAATTCGTTCAAAAAATCAAATGAAGAAGATGAATTAGCGAGAGAAAAATGTAGATCAAAAATGGAGGTTGGTTGATCAATTGAAGAGAGAGAAAAAATAGGGTTTAAAATCATATATATACATAAATTGAATAATAAGAATCAAAGGAAAAAGGAAAAAAGAGGAAGAAAAGAAAAAAAGAAAAAAAGGAAAAAAAAAAAAAAAAAAAAGGAAAGAATCGCAAAAGGAAAGAAGCTGCACATGAGAACTCAATACCAGCTACAAAACGACGTAGCATAGGGGGGGTGTAGGGAACACACCCTACACTAGGGTGTAGGGTAAAATTTTCAAGTGCAATGTCTAGTGGGTAATGGGCTATTTGTTATATGAGGGACGTATAATAAAGGCGGATCTTCATTGGGCCAATCTCCAAACGTTAGTTGACTTTTGTCCAGTGGTGGATCTAGAAGGCATCTAAATAAAAACCAAAATTCAAGTCGGCAAAAAATTAAATGATAGAACTCCACATATTATTCCTTCTTTTTTCTTTTTAAACTAGATGGAAGCTCGTGCGATGTATGGTTTTTTCATCTAAGATTTTTTAATTATTTGATTTATTGTACTTAATAATTTCAGACAAAATTACAAAAGTTTAATATTTATTTTTTTACTATAATTTATAATGAATTTATTAAATATGAATAAATTGTAAATATGTTAATTTTTCCGTTATATAAAATCTTTAATGTGCAATGATAAATTTTTAATAATTTAAATCTTAAATCATTATTCATTGTTTTACCATATCTTTTATTTCGATAGAATCACCAACCTCGTCCACAACTAACCTACTACATCAATGGATAAATTGAACCGTGAAAAGTTAGCCAAACTGAAATTGATATAAATTAAATCTTTACATTTATATAAAATAAATCAATATATTTACCAATAAATGAAAAATTGTTGCGACATAAAATCAAATCTATGCATTGGAATTTTTTCATCATCTCCAAAAATAACCAAAGCCATCCACATATTAAGTACACAACATCTAATCGTATGCCATTACATATACAAATAATCATTAAGTATCCTAAATAAATACAATGTAACTAATAATTACAAATATAAATTTAAACATAAGATCTTAAAAATTACCCGGACATTCATGAACTAAAACTAACACAAAATTACTAACACAAAATTCGCTTGATGGGGGTTTTGTATTGATACGAAATTTGATTTGTGTCGTATGATGTGTTAGATTTGCATGTAAAAAAAATATTTAGTAAATAAAACATAAACATTTAATCATTGAGTATCCCAAATTAATACAATGTAAGTAATAATTAGTAATACTAATTTAAACATAGGATTTAAAAAATTAGGCTAAAAATTACCCGACCATTGATGACCAAAAATTAACACAAAATTACTAACACAAAAAATTCACTTGATGGGGTTATTTTTTGATACAAAATTTTGTTTTGTGTTGTATGATGTGTCAATTTATAATGGCAGGTATTACAAATTTTAATTTAATTATATTAACGAACAATTTGTATTTCTTATCATAAATACTATCAAAATTTATCTTATAATGATAGGTATCAGATTTTATTATAAGCGTTTATCATTTAAATATTTTTTAGTATATTTTTTTTGGATTTCTTATACTCGTAGTATTGAATTAATAAATTTATCTTTTCCTATATTTTTACTTTATTATTTTTCATTAAAATAATTTAATTCGTGGATTATAATTTACGTGGGATTAAAATTTTAGATATATCAAATCTAATTCGTTACTTTTATCTAGGTGGCGACATAGTTTTTTAATTCAAAAATAAAATACAAATCTTTCTTCTTATTGGTCAAAATAAGTATATTTCTTACGTGGCGCTCCGAATGCTCTCCAAAAATGCCTACTTTATTTATATATATTAGATTGAGCCTAATTTTGCACCCCCTAGCTATTTTATTTGGATTTTCCCTTGTACTAGCTCACATATACAAAAGTTCAATCAACATATCATTAATGTAACAAATTCTAGCATTAAACAAGCATCAAAAAAAATTCTGATGCGTATCCAAGGCATCAATATCATCATTTTATTAGTTTTATTTATTTTTATAGTCGTCTATTAATCATGAGGTTGAGTGGCATCAATCCTAAAGTTACGCGTGATTAATCAAATTGGAGCCCATAAAAATACGCATAAAAATCCCAGCAACCACACCAATTTGATCCGTATTTTGATGGGCTCCACTAAAATTCCGACCTTAGATGGATTGTAGTTTTAGACTTTGCACAATTTTGGGATAAAGGGACTAAATCTATGGAACAATTAAATCTAAGCAAGATCAAATTGTAACTAGGATATGGAGCTATTTAATCTAACCAAGACTAAATAAGAACTAAATTGGTAGCTTTCTCAGCAAAATATCATATGCAATTCTCTTGCTAAAAACAATTCATACGAATTGATCAATTGTAACTCAAAACTTATCTCCCTTCATTAATGAAAATAAAGAATATGTATAGGCAAACATCCCATGCCGTTAGGATAACTAAAAGATAAAATAGAATATATAAGATATAAATACTAAATACTAATTCTAAATAACAAAAATTATCTTCTTATAATATTAGAAAATAATATCTTATCAAATTATTAATTCTACCCCAACTCTAATTCGATTAATCACGCATAACTTTAGGATTGACGCCACTCAATCTCATGATTAATAGACGACTATAAAAATAAATACAACTAATAAAATGATGATATTGATGCCTTGAATACGCATCAAATTCCTAATTGTCTTGTACAACAATAAACTGGAATATGGAATCTGTATGTAGAAGCTAATTCATTGCTTGTAGATGAACAAAGAACAATTAGTGCTTAAAACCAATATAAACTTGTAACACGGTGAGGATAAGAAGAATCATCAAATAGACAACGGAAATGATTGACCAAGGATGATTGAAGTAGTCTTTCCTTAATATAGCCATCCATTTGTTCCTCTTAGTGTTGGCATGTGCATTCAATTTTTCAGCAATATCAGAATAGTAGAAATTAGGATTAATCATTATATTTTTGCAGAGATGATTGACGACATTAGCTACCTCATCATCACTCCCAAGCAAATTCTTGATTACACCATATTGAACTAATATTTGCACGTCTTCACGAGTGTTAATCAATGCATCAATGAACGATACATAGTCAACAAAGTAAGATTTGTCATAGAAATGATGACAGCATTGCTCAAAAAATATAATATTGCGAAGAAGACCTTCCGTACTGTCTTCCATAGTCAATCTTGGAATCTCTAAAACACCATCTGAAAATTCAATATCCAATAGATTTTTACTCACTTGCCTTGAATTTTACTCCGGCAACCTCCAATTTTTCAACACTTGGGGGTAAAGTAAGTTCAGTCATTGATTTACCGGCTCGGAGTTTGGAAGGTAAGTGCCAAACCCTCAAAAAATCCAAAAGATGCTTAACTTCCGATGTGTTTCTCACAACATTCTCTTTACGAATAGCTGGATTGGTACGTCCAAAAACAGAATTGTTAGATATATAATTACAAGTAAGATCCTCGAAGGAAATCCCGCGGTAAGCTCCACCAAATGTTATGCTGTATAACTCGTTGAGAACAAAAAATGGGAGTTGATTATCTTCTACAAATATATCTTGTTTACCTTCATAATCCAAGTAATCTTTTCATTAATAGGAGTCTTTTGAATTTGAAATTTTTCACTATAGCAAATAAACAAGTAAATGATGAATGCAGCATCGATCATCATCATCTCAGTAAAAACGTTGCTGGAGAGACTTATTTTTTCTTCGTAATAGGAACGAGCCTCATCCTCGAAACCTTTTAAAAAGTCAATGCATTTCCTTAAGCTACTAGCTTTGTTGCCATTGGTATGGGCTGCAAGTTCTAAAAACCATTTGAGATGATTTAATTTTAACTCTAACGAAGATTTTAGGATTGGATTATCGTAGTGCGTTGGACCAATTGAAACAATCGAAGGCCGATAAATGCAGCATTTGGAGGAAATATTGGGTAAGGAACTAAGCTTGTTTTGTATTGAAGATTCCACTTCCTTGGCTGTCATTCTGTAATTTCAAATTATAGATAACATGTTATATATGGAATACATTATATTTTATATGTTATTTTAATGAATGTTGCACCACTTTGACTTTTACACTATTTATATACTCTCTTTTGACTAACTATCGTGACTTATATGTAATGAGATTTTTTGGAACGTCTTGACTTGTACTTTCAAAATAACATTTTTTTAATAAATTTTATTTATTAAAAAATTCAGCATAATAACGCTCAAAGTTGTGCGTTGGCAAGAGTGAAAGCTAATATGGTGCAATTTTGAAAGAACGGAGAAAATTTAGATGCACATAGAGGTAGGTGCACCCAACTAAGAGTGGTTTTTTTTGCTCATTTGCCAATAATGAGTAGATATTACAAGTGTAACAAGATGTATATAAATTTTTTAGGAAGCATATTATAATATTAAAGTAAATCATCATCATTATTTTAACCGTCATTTATTTTCCTTTCATCTAACCTATTATAATATACTAGTTTAGGTCCCGTGCCATACACGGTAATTTTAAAAAGCTACTATCAACTTTTCATGTTAAAAAGTTAAAAAAATCTTTAAAATATTAAAAAAATATGCACACTAGTTTGATGTGAATTCTAATCAATAAATAAACAACTATTTTTTATTAGGGAATAAATATGAATACTTTCTTGAAGTAAATCAAAATATGTCGCAAATCATGTTAATATTTTTTTTTTATTATAGTCATAAATGTTTGTGTTGAAAGGTATATCAAACCTTATTTATTTCAAGTAATTATCTTTGTTATTAACATATATAAAAAATTATTTTTGTATAAGATTATTTTATTATTTTATACTATAATTGATTTTTTTTTCAAAAAAAAAATACTAAGGACACACCAGGAGATGACACGTGTCATTGCTGGTTTGTCTTTTAGTATATAGTTATTGATACTTCCTTTATTTCTATTTATTTGCAGCACAATCTATTTCACATTTGCCAGTATATTATTTGAATAAAAAATATTTTTAATTATCAAAAAGTATATATAAATCTAAAAATTGATATATATATTATGGAAAAATGATTGAGACAAATTTAACAAGATTCTACTTAATCATATTTTTCGTTAACTATAAATCACTAAAATCGGTCAAAGTTAGTGAAGTATGCGAATAGTATAATAAACTCAGAAAATTGTAGATAAAAGGATACCAAAGTAATACATATCTAAAGAAGAACATTGAAAATTTGAAGTAAAGAAAATAATAAATAAAAGAAAGACTATTCACCTCAATTTTCGTTGTTTGAAGTTAAGATACACTATCAAAAAAAGGTATGACTTCTCTCAAGACAGTGTTTTTACTTCAATTAATAAGAACCAAATGCATGCTCCCGTATGGCCGTATGCATCAATTGAGCCAATAACCTTTAGGAACTTAAGTAACCTGATATCATATGATTGCAATTTTCAAAATCCAACAAACAGTAGGTTGTGTAATGTACGAGAGTATAGAGTAAAGAGGGTGATTTAATTTAAGCAAGAGCTAGTTTAATTTGAAAGTAATATTAAAGGGTAGTACAAAAACAGATAATGTAGACTTGTGATTGTGACTTTTGTGAGTGAGGAAGAGATGAGTTATGAGTGATGGTTGTGACTTTTGTGAGTGAGGAAGAGATGAGTTATGAGTGATGGTTGTAACTTGGGAGTTATTAATGAGTATGGATTGGACGGATATCACATCAAGTTAATGTCAATCAAAGAATAAGATTAGGTCAAAATAGTCTCCTAGTGCGGAGATTGAAGAACATAGATATAGGAAAACATTGGATTAATCTGTGGATACTAGACTTTAAAAGTTTTTCATTGAACATGATCATTAATAAATTTGGCATTTACTAGACAACATCAATATAGAGCTAAGATATTAGCCCAATCTAAGGAAAATTTGGATTTTACAACTCACAAATAACCGACTTTTTGAAATTATCATCCATAAAAAATATTATTTTAAAATACCACTCAAAAAAGACAAAAAAAAATTAAAAAAAATAAATAAATAATAAAAAAATTCAGATTTCACCACTATTAATCTAACGTTTTATAGAAATTTCTTCAATTTTCATACCAAAAACAAGCTCTTTAAAGATTTTGGGGGCCATTTTTGTTCTATGAGTCCGATTTGAGGTCAAAATTTACAAAAAAATGATTGGAAATGCCTTGTTTTACGTACTAAAAAATACCTCGATTTGTGTGACACATGTAAAATGAGACATTTTCGATAATATTTTTGTCAATTTTGACCTCAAATCGGATCTACAGAAAAAATATGACCCTAGTAGTAATGTGTAAAAAGGTGATACTCAAGATTTGAAATTGAATCTATTACAATAAATTAGTAAGTGAGGGCACATGAAACACGAATTGTAAAGTACAATATCTATCCCCTAAAACCAGTATAAACCTGTAACACTGTGAGAATAAGTAGGAACACCAAATAGATCACAGAAATGATTGACCATGGATGATTAAAGTAATTTCTCCTCAATATGGCTTTCCATTTATTCCACCTCATAGCAGTATACGCATTCAAATCTCGACTAATACCAGCATAGTAGAAATTGGGATTGTAAATCAATATGCATTTGGTGATTTGGTTCACCAAATTTGCCACCTCCTCATTACTTCCTAGACAATGTTTGATTATTCCATGTTGAACTAGTACTCGAACATCTTCAGAAGTATCAATCAAAGCATCGAGGAAGAATAAATAGTCGATGAAATAAGAGTTGTAGTGATGGTGGCATTGCTCGAAAAATACTATGCTCCGAATTACAGCCTCCGTGTTTTCTTGAATTACTAATGTAGGTATTCGTAAGATTCCCTTCGAAAATTCAATGTCGAGTATACTCTCACTTTCAATTGCAATAAATTTAACACCAGCTGCCTTGATCTCTTTGACGCTTGAGGGAAATACTATGTGAGAGTCTTCAAGGTTGAGTTGATCTCGAAGTTTGTGAGGTAGGCAACATACCCTTAAAAAATCCACAAGATGCTTGATATTAGACGCCTCCTTTACCTTCTCTCTGCCTATTATTGTACGTGCAACCTCTCTTCCAGGAATATAAGTGTTACTTATAAATCTACAAATAACATCCTTGAAAGATGTATCGCCGTAAGTTGAACCAAATGTTGCATTGTACAGATCATTAAGAACAAAAAATGGTAGTTGATTATCCTCTATAAATAAATCTTGTTCAACTCTCATCATCCATGCTATTTTATTTACCATTGGATCTCTTCGGAGTGGTACCGGATTACCATCGTAGCACATAAAATAGTAGATGATGAATGCAGCATCTACCAACATCATCTCAATGAACTCATTGCTAGACAGGCTAGTTTTTTCTTCGTAGTAGGAACGGGCTTCCTCCTCGCGTTCTTTTATATTGTCTATGAGCTTGGCTACGCTATAACAAGATTGGTTGCCATTTACATGGGTGCTATACTCAAGGAAGCATTGGAGATGGCTCAATTTTAACTCTTGTGAAAATGTCAAGGATGGATTTTTATAGTAGATAGGACCTATTGAAACAATCCAAGGCTGGTAACATTGTTCATTTACCTTGCGAATATGTTCAGGCACTTTATAAATGGAATGATTAGAGAAATGATTAGGTATAGAACTAAGCTTGTGTTTTATTGAAGATTCCACATTTTGGGTTTGATTTATCATAATAAAAATTAATGAAGTTGATGTTATAATGATAATATACTCTAAAATGAGAACGTAGAACCAATCTGGACTATTAAATTATTATAATTGAACAATTATTATGCTTCCCGTGTATGACTTTTTTGTAAATTTACAACTCTATAAACCGATTTTTAATTATAAATTTAAGAACTAATAAAAAATCTAGTGTCAAGCAAATGGCACCAATTACCCCCCATAAAAGTCTCTATAAAGAAAATTCATCTCATTATAAATTAAATTAAAACACTCATTAAAAAGAATCTAAACTATCTTGTTCTGAAATTCATAAACTTTTAAGCAAATGGCACATTAATAAATAAAAATATTTTTAAAAAAATAAAAAAATAAAAAAATAAAAAAAAAAAAAAAAGAAAGAAGAATAATTTTTACCTCAATTTCTGTTTTCGGACATTAAGATACATAAGGAAGAAAGGTATGTCTTTTCTCCAAAAAATTTCTTCAATTAATGGAAATCAAATGCTCCATATGCATCGATTGAATTGAGCCAGCTAACCTTAAGGAAATGAAGAAATCTGATATGTTTTGAAAGTAAAACTAAAGGATGTAGACTTGTGAGTTGTGACTCGATCTTGTGAGTGAAAGGATAAGTTATGAGTGATGGTTGTGAATTTGAGAGTATAAATGAGCAAGGATATGGGCCGACAAAAATAATGGAATGGAGGAATGTCACATCAAATTAATGTGAATCAAAGAAATTGGAGCTGAGGCCATATAATAAAGTCCAAAAAGTGTGCTCCAAATCTCCAATTGTGGAGATTCAAGTACATAAGGGATTAAGGGGGCCTAGTTACTCTAGTGGTTTAATTTATAGCAGTTTCAATTATTGGAAGATGTTTTGTGTAGACGTAAAAAGCTAACTCGTTATACCTGTCGACTAACATTATAAGCTAACGTACAATCACGGATTTATCTTTGTTTTTGTCAATCTAAGAATTCATATACTTGTTGTATAATTGAATTGGAACCCTATATTGCAAAAACCCAACAAACCATTAGATCTATGACAGATGAGCAGCGATTAATAAAAGAAACACGTTGTAAACGAAACGAATTAATGTGTATTATGATTACTAATCGCGGATTTCTAATTTTGGTTGAACAATGAAGAACATCATGAACAAATTTTTAATTTTAATTTTTTTTTATTTAATGTAAATTTTGATAAATAATAAACAGTAGTTAAATTATAAAAGAAAAAAAATTGAAATATCATAAAATAATTTCTGGATATTAAAATATATTTAAAATGATTTTTAATTAAAATTATTAAAAATAAATAAATAATCTTAGCCATCCATTTTAAAAAATTGCGATTAGCATTACAAATTTAAAGCAGCAAAAGTAATACTTAATTGTCTTATTACTTGTATACTAATTACAAACCAGTAAATTAAAAAGAGTGATCGTACAATAAGCCAAAATAAAAAGTAATACTATATAGCAGCTTGTAGTAACGAACTATTACTTAAAACCAGTATAAACTTGTAACGCGGTGAGAATAAGAAGTATCACTAAATAAACCACAGAAATGATTGACCATGGGTGATTGAAGTAGTCTTTCCTTAATACAGCTATCCATTTGTTCCTCCTGGTGTTGGCATGCGCTTTCAATTTTTTACTAATAATATCAAAATAGTAGAAATTAGGACGGACCATTGTGTATTTAGTGAGTTGGTTCACAACAGTTGCTACCTCGGCATCACTCCCAAGCCAATTCTCGATTATGCCATGTTGAACTAGTATTTGCACATCTTCGTGAGTGTCGATCAAAGCATCAAGGAAGGATACGTAATCCACAAAGTAAGAATTTTTTCATAATAATAACGGTGGCATTGTTTGAAAAATGGGTAATTCTCTGTTTCTCATGGGGTATGTGTCAAGATCTGGGACTCTCATTCATGACACATATGTGGTCCCCACCAGTGAAAAACATCACATTATTTTCCAAAATGTCATTATGAGAAACAAAAGTATTTCTCATAATGAGGAAATGGGGCTCCCTCTCGAAAAATATGATGTTGCGAATTAAACCTTCTGTGGTATCTGAAATTGTCAATACTGGAATCTCTAATACTCCGTCAGAGAATTCAATATCTAGTAAATTGTTACCCTCTCTTGCCTTAAACTTTACTCCAGCAGCCTCCAATTTTTTGCACTAGGGGGTAAAGTAATTTCTATTCTTTTACCGTCTCGGAGTTGGGAAGGTAAGTGGCAGGCCCTCAAAAAATCCACAAGGTGTTTGATTCCTGAGATCTTCTCTACATTCTCCTTACCTAGTTTGATACGTCCAACCTCTCTTCCTAGTAAAGAACTGCCGGATATAAAACTACAATATAAATTATTGAGAACAAAAAAGGGGAGTTGATTGTGTTCAACAAATATATCTTGTTTTACTTTCACCATCCATGTAATCTTTTCCTTAATAGGAACTTCTTGGATATTAAATTGGTTATTTGTATAACACATAAACAAGTAAATAATGAATGCAGCATCAACCATCATCATCTCAATGAACTCATTGCTAGTGAGACTTATTTTTTCTTCGTAATAGGAACGGGCTTCCTCCTCCCAGTCTTTTATCATGACAATGTACTGGCTTAAGCTTAAAGCTCGATTGCCATTCGTATGAGTTGCAAGTTCTAGGAAGCATTTGAGATGATTCAATTTTAAATTTAAACAAGGTTTCAGGGATGGAGTATTATAGTGCATGGGACCAATGGAAATTATTGAAGGCTGATAACATTCTCTTTTTACCTCGCGGATATATTCAGGTACCTTATAAATACTACGATTGGAGGAGGATTCGGGTAAGGATTCAAGTTGTTTCTGTATTGAAGATTCCACAACCTTGGTCTCAGCTGCCATTCTGCAATGCTGTAATTTTTAATTACTAATGACATATTATATACAAAATACAATACATACTGCTTATATATACTCTATTACATACCATCATAATTTACTTCTAGTTCACCTTATTATTATAATTAGGAGATTTTCACTTTTGCTACCACTAAAACACATGTGTTTCACTTTTGCTACCCCTCTAAAATTTTATTTTATTTTGCTACCACCTAAAATCACATTTATTAAAATTTGCTACCAGTTGACGGAATTTGTTACTATTGCCGTTTGTAGGCCCCACTTCAACCCTGCCTCTCTCTCTCCTCCTTCCCCAGCCACCAATCCCCTTCCCCTGCCACTCACCCTCCACCCCCCAGCCACGTGGCCCGCATCTCCCCTTCCTCTGCCGCTCCCCAAAATCGATGCAAAACTACCCCATAACCCCAACTCCGGCGACGGTGAGAGTTTCGAGGGTGGGGTAGTTGGGGTTTCGAGGGGGTCGCCGGAGATCGAAAAGGTTTAGAGTTAGGGTGGCCGAAAAGGGTAGGGGAAGGGGAGGGGGGGTCGATTTTGGTGGGTGGATGGGGAGGGGGCCGACTCTGGTGGGGCGAATGGGGAGGGGGGGTGGTTTCCGGTTCGGGGTGGGGGTCGAGGCGCAAGAAGGGGAAAAGGGAGGGGGGTGGCTGCGTAGGTGGGGGAAAAGGATTGGGGTGGGGTCGCCGGCGTTGGCCCAAGCTTTGGATGCCGGCCGCAGGCAGGGGGGAGGCTGACTGACGGGAAGGGGGGCAATTGAGGGTGGCTGGGTTTTTTTTTTTAATTTTTTTTTTTAATTTTTTGAATAAACTTAACGGAACCCTACGGAATTCCGTTAAGTGGTAGTGAAATATAAATCATGTGATTTTAGGTGGTAACAAAATAAAATAAAATTTTAGAGGGGTAGCAAAAGTGAAATAGGGGTGTTGTAGTGGTAGCAAAAGTGAAAATTTCCTTATAATTATTTATCATATCCAAAAATCATAGAAACATTGAAAATATGTATCTAAAATTATTCTTATACTTAATTAAGTCTATACTTTCAAGCAAATTAGACTACTTACAAACATAAAAATGAAAAAACAAAATCCTTAATATGTTTTTACCTTAATTGATGGAAACCAAATATGTGCAAAATTTGACCACAACCTTTGGGAAATTAGATTTTTTTTTTTTTTTTTTTTTTGAACAATGGGAAAATTGGATACTTGAATATGCTAGACTTTAGAGCTTTTATGATTTGTGAATGAAAGAAGAAGAAATTAAATAAGTGGCGAATGATGAATTTGAGAGAATGACTTCCATAATTATTAGGTTATTACTCCATATTAATTAATTAAGAACATCAAGCCGCCCAACAAACTATTGGAGGAATGTCACATCGTAAATTACATAATAGCAATCCCTTAAGATGTCAACTTCTTGAAAATCAATTGTCGAAGATCAAGTTGTATTCAGTTCCCTTGAATATATTTCTTTGATTTAGGTGTACCATTCGTCCTATCATATTTATTCAAAACTTCAAATTGAACGATTTTTCAATAAGAAATTCTTTCTCACAAATTCATAGTCATAACTCATAAGAAAATTTACACTTGCATACTTACATCAGCACACAAGTAACAATTAAAATGAAAGTTAAATGTAAACCAATCATAACAATTCATAGACCATTCATTAATCATTCAATGACTAAAAAAAAATCAGTTTAGCAATGAAACAATAATTTTAGTCAACCCATAGACATAATTTTATTTTCAATTAATAATAATTAACGTTGTAAAATAAAAAAAATCAACCACATAACGTAATCAGTTATAGGAAACTGTGGATTCAGTCTATAATCTATAATCTACTTGTATATATTAGATGGAGTTTTGAATAATGGATTCAATTTGTATATATTAAATGGAAATCTGAATTAAGTCCATGTCATGTGGTACTCTCTTGGCTTCCTATACGATTTATACAAGATTTGAACTTTGGTGTATTTTTTCCCACCAAAACCCATTTCCAAAAAAGTATTTCCACTTTATTTTCTTTCTATTTTCCTTTATAGACTTTACGAATATTTTATCAATAAAAGATGCTTAGTACTACTGTAATATTAATAGTACTAACTTAAAATAATTTTCTAAAATATTTCAATCAAACGGATTTGATTTATGGTAAGCTTATTTACTTAGTATTGTACTCCGTATAAATTAACATAAAGCATGGAAAGTTTTATTTCCAAGGATATAAAATGACTTTTACTAACAAAAAATACATAGAACATATTTTTACCTATATTTTGATAGGATCAAATAGTTTTAAAAGCATAAATTATAAAACAACTCTATAATTTTTGTTAAATTAGCATATTAAATGTATGTAAAAATTTTGACACACCAATCATAGAATTTTTATCAATGCTTGACTTTTTTTTTTTTCTTATTACATTTACAATCATAATAGTTTAGATCAAAATGATGCTAAAAAGACAAAAGTCATACTTCAATAAGTATAATTATTATTTATCCATATACGGAGTATATAACAATAATAAAGCATAGATCAAAAATCAAAAATGACATATGTCATTTTCTATTCAAAAAATTTCAGCTAAAGCCCTTTACATATGAAAAAAAAATATACAATCGCTATATTATTATTTTCATTCTCTAGTGAATATTTGTAGGGGCTTCCATTGGTGTTCTTACCGATGGTAAGCCCCTAAAAAACATTTTAATTGCTTTCAATATATAAATCTCATCCTTGAGATGATGATTTTTATCTTGAGTTTATTTTCTTTTTATGTTTGTATGGCAAAAATTGAAAATCTAGGGTTTTATAATCTCTATAGGAATCCGGAGGACCACATGAGTATTTTCACTCAAACAACTACGCATCAGTGGATTTCAAGCCAAATCCATGCGAACTCACAGATTGTATTGCTTCAGATGAAATTTTTTATTGGGGCGATTGTTAATCAAATCTACGATGTATTTAAT